CATGGACTCCACGACCACTTGCTCTGGAGTTCTTGGTTTTAAAGTTTCAAATTATCCTGTTTGTAAAATAAAACATTCATTTTGGAAGAGGGTACCAGAGCAACAAGGTGGCACAAGTCAACTTGCACCAGAATTTCCCAGGGGGCATCTGGGTGGCTCAGTCGGTTAAGCATCTGCCTTCAGCCCAGGTCATGATCTCAGGGTCCCAGGATTGAGTCCCGCATCGGGCTCTCTGGTCAGTGAGGTGTCTGCTTCCGCTTCTCCCTCTGCCTCTGCCCCTGCTCATCCTCTCTCTAATAAATAAATAAAATCTTAAAAAAAAATTTTCCTAGAATTCTTATGGAAAACCAGCATCGATTACTTCCTAAGACTGACACGTTTGGTTTTCATACCATCTTCATTTCGGATGAAAGAGCGAGTTCAGAAAGTTCGGTTTGCCCAGGTTCACCCTGCTAATGAATTCTGGAGGTGGAATCTGAAGCCACCAGCATTTGTCTGACTTGCAAGTGCTGTGCTGAGGACTGGAGGAGCCCGAGTGATCACCAGGGCCACCGGGTCCTCCGCATTCTGGAGTGAGGAAGACAGGAGCTTGGGTCAAAGGACCTCCCCAAGCTCGCAGATCCTCTGCCGCACGGCTCGGGAAATTCAGCTGGGCAACAAGTATTTATCTGCCCATTGGTATTTGCTGTGGTAACTTCTCCCTTTCTCCAAATAAACAGCTTTGTTCTTTTTATTAATCGTACTGCATATGCTCCTTACTGAAACCGCTTAGGAACTCTTCGTGGATGGGGTATAGTTTATGAATAAAATAAGGTGTATTAAGTCCTGGCCTAGAACTCAGTTTCTTTTTTTTTTTTCTAAGGTTTTATGTATTTATTTATGAAAGACATAGAGAGAGGCAGAGACACATGCAGACGGAGAAGCAGGCTCCACGCAGGGAGCCCGATGTGGGACCCGAAGTCTGGGATCACACCCTGGGCTGAAGGCAGATGCCCAACTGCTGAGCCACCCAGGGATCCCGTAGGATTGTTTCTTAATTCCAATCTGGGGTTTTAATTTTTCAGCTAGAGCACAGAGCCATCTACCAACACCTGCGTAAAGATGAATAAAACTCAAAATGAAGTGGGCATCCTGCACACACGTAGACTTGATGCAACGTTCTAACTTGCATCAAGTAGATGTATGGCTTACATTTTCTAAGGAAAATCCTTTAGCCTCTAATGCTTCATTTTATATGGAATGGCACCTTTTAGGAGCCAAGTGAGAAAAGTGAGCCGATGCTGATTTTTTTTTAAGATTTTATTTATTTATTTATTCATGAGAGACACACACAGAGAGAGGCAGAGACACGGGCAGAGGGAGAAGCAGGCTCCATGCAGGGGGCTCAATGCAGGACTCGATCCCAGGTCTCCAGGATCAGGCCTCGGGCTGAAGGCAGGCACCAAACCACTGTGTCACCCAGGGATTCCCATTGAGTCTCTTATTCTTAAGAAGTCCCATTTTCCCCCTCAAGCGTTGTATATATGATCTATATTTAAACCAAAGGCGGGGGACGCCTGGGTGGCTCAGCTGTTGAGCATCTGCCTCTGGCTCAGGTCATGATCCTGGGGTCCTGGGATCGAGTCCCACATGGGACTCCTTGTGAGGAGCCTGCTTCCCTCTCTGCCTGTGTCTCTGCCTCTCTCTCTCTGTCTCTCATGAACGAATAAATAAAATCTTAAAACAACAACAACAACAAAAAAAAACAAAACCAAACACGGGGCGCCTGGGTGGCTCTGACAGTTGGGCGTCTGCCTTCATGTCAGGTCACGATCCCAGGGTCCCCTGCAGGGAGTCTCCCTCTCCCTCTGCCTCTGCTCCTCCCCCTGCTTGTGTTCTCTCTCAATCTCAAATAAATAAATCTTTAAAAATAAATGAATAAATAAACCAAGTGGAATGGCAATTTTTTCCTCCATAAATAAATAAATATTCCTGAATATGAAATTTTAAACGTATCTTCTAGAAGACTGATTGTGACAGATTTCGGGGAGTACGGTGCTCATTCCTTCCTTGGTAGGTTGCTGTCCTACACGCCACATATTCACATACAGTTTAAAATTTCCTAGCCCACAGAGCAGAGGTGAAATTCACTGTAATGTTTTCTTTGACCCAATGTACTGTAGTCCTCTCAACCCCTTATGCATGGGGAACACGTTCCAAGACCCCCAGTGGATGCCTGAAACCACGGGTAGAACACTTTTTTCCTACACACACATGCATAGGATAGTCAAATTTATAAATTAGACATAGTAAGAGAGTAATGATTAATAATATAGAACAATGAGAACATGCTGTAAAAGAAGTTATGTGAATGTGGTCTCTTCTCTCAAAATATCTTATTGTACTATATCACCCTTCTTTTTGGGAGAATGTTTGATGATGAAATGCCACATGAGAGGAACCATACAGGCACTGCGACCCGGTGCTAGGCCACTACTGACTTTCTGAGGATGCATCAGGAGGATCACCTGCTTCTGGACCGTGGCTGACCTTGGGTAATGGAACCACGGGTAAGGGCTGGGGGGCTACTGCATGCAAAATATTATCATTTCAACATGTAATCAATATTTAAAATTTACTAAGTCGCCTTACATTTTTTTCCTCCATACTTCAAGATGCAATGTGTATTTTGCACTTACACTCCTGCCCAGCCACACTGCAAGGGCTCCAGTTACATGTGGCCAGTGGCTACCGCAGACGGCAGCTCTAGGGCTCGGAGTCCTCATCACTCCAGCATCTCCATTTTATAGATGGGAAAACTGAGGCCAGAAAGAGAAGGTGGGTCCCTAGCAAGTTAATAGCATGTCAGACTCCCCCAGCCTAAGGCTCTTCAGCAGTCTGTTTTTGTGTGATTGTTTCTCTTTTCTCGAAGCAGGTGTGCTGTGTGAAAGTAAAGCAACTCCTGATGAGAGGACCTACAGCTTCCGGAAAAATGTAATGGAGAAGCTATTTCCTTAGAAGGTCTTTAAGAGGATTGATTTAGGGACGACTGGGTGGCCCAGTGGTTGAGCATCTGCCTTCAGCTCATGGGATCCAGGATCGAGTCCCACATCGGGCTCCCTGCATGGAGCCTGCTTCTCCCTCTGCCTATGTCTCTGCTCTCTGTCTCTCTCATGAATAAGTAAATCTTAAAACAACAACAACACAAAAGAGGATTGGTTTAAAGGTCAGCCAGAATGGGCACGTGGGTGGCTCAGGGGTTGAGCGCTGCCATCGGTTCAGGTGGTGACCCCAGGGTCCCAGGGTAGAGTCCCACATCTGGTTCCCCGCAGGGAGCCTGTTTCTCCCTCTGCCTATGTCTGTCTCTCTTTCTGTCTCTCATTAATAAGTAAATCAAACATTACAAAATAAAAAGCCAGCACACGTGTGTCTGCTATCCACAGGATCAGTTTGTTTAATCCGTCAAGGGGAAGGTACAGAGATGAACTTGACAGGTCCCCTGTGTCCCAGCAGCCTGACCGCCACTTACGCAGCTTCCGGGATGTGTAAATAATTAGAACTCAAGGGCACACCTCCCTCTAGAGGAGCAAACGTTATTGCAGGGACAATGCACAGAATCCCTATCACGGAATTAAAATGGCACGCGGGGAGAAAAAGTTGCCTGATTAGGATTCACATAAAAAAAGCAAACCTGCGGGCAGCCCCGGTGGCGCAGCGGTTTAGCGCCGCCTGCAGCCGGGGGTGTGATCCTGGGGACCCTGGATCGAGTCCCACATCGGGCTTCCTGCATGGAGCCTGCTTCTCCCTCTGCCTGTGTCTCTGCCTCTCTTCGCTCTCTCTGAATGAATAAATAAATCTTAAAAAAAAAAAAAAAAAAAAGCAAACCTGCCTTGCGTGGTAACTGGCACCGAAACCCATTGATTGTACGTTTAATAAACAAACTTTTTGAGAGCTGTAGCCTGGTCCCTTGCCTTTGAAAGTTCTGCTCTAAATCACTGATCTGCTAACACTTTTTTTTTTTTTAAATAATGGAATTGTAAAGAAGAAATGTTATCACTAACTGGTCTGATTCTCTCAATCTACAGATGAAAGATCCCCCCGCTACAACCCTCAAAGGAGAGTGGCTCACCCTTTCCTCCGCCGCCCAGAGAGCATCCCTCTCAAGCAAGCCTTGACGATGCTTACATCATCGGGCAATAGGAGACAAGCTCCCAACGCTACTGCCAACACTGGTATCATTTAATGATAAGCCAGGTTGGGTGAGACCAAATACGTGGTTATCAATCGCGTCAATGTCCTGCGGCTAGCATACTGTTTTGTGCCCTGTTAAAGAAAAGGATCAGGACAGTGGTAGTTTGTCAGCTTCTCGGGTAAAGCAGAGGTCCTGTTCAAATGCAGAACCACCTTTTAAGATGAATTAAAAACTCTCATCTTAAAAACTCTCTGTATTTGGGAAAAGATAGCAAAATGTGTTGATTATACTTTCAAAGACTCCCATTGTCATATATTGTGGTGATTGGGGACTGAATTAGTCATTAGTCATTCCGATTTGGCTGAGCACTTTGCGTAATGGTCAAATGTTCTCATGCGAGTCAATGTCAAGGGCTCCTGGGTGGCTCAGTTGGTTAGGCGTCTGCCTCAGGCTCAGGTCATGATCCTAAGGTCCTGGGATTGAGCCCAGTGTTGGGCTCCCTGGTCAGCAGGGGGTCTGCTTCTTCTCTGGCTCTCCCCTCAGCTCATGCTCTTTCTCGTTCTCTCTCAAAAATAAGTAAAATCTTTAAAGAACAAAATCAAAGTAACGATCTAGTTTAAAACCCATCAGTTCCATTGGCTTGACTGTCGCAGGGGCAGTGCCAGCCTACAGACAAAGCTTAGGTCAGACACCATAAAATGGACACCACTGGCCGGGGTAGGGCTAGAGAGGGTACAAATAAGTCTACATCAATTCCTACTTCTCGTTGGCACAAACATGAGGGGTGCGTGTGGATGTAATACTTTTTTTTAAAAAAAGAAACATAACCTATTAATCACTTAAATATTTATTGAGCATTTACTACATTTCAGACAGTATTCTAGGTGTTAGGATACAAAACTAAACAAAGATAAAAATCCTTGCCCTCAGGAACCTTACATTCTGGTCAGTGTTTGGGAGCTGAGCGAAGACACCAGAAGTGGGAAGAGCTCTAGGAAAATAATGTAAAGGCAGTATAGGCATGTGGGGGCTGCAGGGAAGGGCCAGGCCATGACTCCAAAAAGGAAGTGGTTAGGACAGGGCACGCAGAAGGTGGCATCATACTTTAAAACAAGCCTCAGGTGTGGAGGAACTCAAACTTCCAACAGCCTTTGTTCAATATACAGGTCCTCTAGCTTGCATCCTACTAGGAGCATCACAATTTCAGAGCCAAAAGGTCATTTCAAGTGACACCACGCAGGGCCAGCACCAGCAGGCATCAGGATTCCACCCAGACCTATCTTTTTGGCTCCAATGATTGAACCTTGATGCTTCGGCAAAAAAAAGTTACTTAAAATAATCAGAAAACAAATACATAGACACTACTCTGTCACAAGCCCTGTTTTTAATATAGTTTAACTCACTAATAAGAAAAAGCCCTTCTTCTTATGGACACTTAGAAATAGAACAATACAATGAACCCCTATACACCCATTGCTCTGATTTAGCAATTATTAGTGTTCTGCTGATCCTGTTTTGTCTACAGTAGGGATGGGGATAAAGATGGGAGTATTTTCAAGCTATCCCAGGCATCCTTTTTGTTATATGCACGAAGACTTCAGTCCATATGGCGCACAGTTTTTTTTAAAGGATTTTTATGGCGTAATTTTTATTTTATTAAAAGATTTTATTTATTTATTCATGAGAGACACAGAGAGAGATGCAGAGGCAGAGGGAGAAGCAGGCTTCCTGCAAGGAGCCCGATGCGGGACTCGATCCAGGGACCTCAGGATCATGCCCTGAGCCGAAGGCAGACGCTCAACTGCTGAGCCACCCAGGCATCCCTGGAGCAGGGTTTTTAAAATGGAGCAATATGGGCAGCCCTGGTGGCTTAGTGGTTTAGCGCCACCTTCAGCCCAGGGTGTGATCCTGGAGACTCAGGATCAAGTCCCACGTCGGGCTCCCTGCATGGAGCCTGCTTCTCCCTCTGCCTTTGTCTGCCCCTCTCTCTGTCTCTCTCATGAATAAATAAATAAAATCTTAAAAAAAAAAATGGAACAATACCAGTGTCATATCCAGTAAAGTTACAGTCCCTTCCTCCTATCATTCAATACCTACTCCATTTTACATTTTCTTTCTTTGTCAACAAAGTCCTTTTTTTTTTTACACAACTGGTTTGGTCTAATTGAGATCCAAATGAAGTCCCCAGCACTGGGACACATGTCTCTTAGACTTCTTTTGTGTTTTGTAATAGCTCTTCCCTTTTGCCTTACAGACCTTCTGACTTGGATTGGGCTGATTTCTTTCTGCCTGTTACCCCGTCCCTGTGTGCTGTATAGTTCCTGTCACTGCGGCTCACATCTGGAGGCCACCTGGATTCAGACACACCACTCACTTCCCCACAAGTGCCAAGCATCAATGTGCCATCCCCTCCCCGGTCCACTTTCCTTCCCTCCCTGAAGATTTAATTTAAGCAGGGCTCTTACCAACACTCTATAAACTAGGCCTATCCTAACACAGATGGCCCTGCCAAGGCCTGGCCTCAGTTCATTGACCTTCCAGCCCTCAATGCTTTTGTCTGGTGTTGTCCTGCAGCCACTTACAACTAGGGCTGCACCTTAGATATTGCCAAAGGCAACCCTCCACGAGTATGACCTGAAATATTTCATTCTCTGATCTCTGTCTTTCTCACTTCTGCAGTCTAGCATCCTGACTCCAACAATTCTTTGGCCCCAAGGACCTACCACTTTTTCACTGACAAATCTAGAACCCCATGACATTCACATACAGATTTGCAAAGGCTAAAATTTCACCCAAAGCTGATGAAGTGGATCAGCCTTTAAACAAAACCAGAGTAGCATTAATAAGACATGAAAACGTCTCAGAGAGCTAGACATAGCTCTGTTCACACATTAAATGACCCCCTTACCACTGGCGCAGGGGAGGGATGAGGACAAAGATTTTATGGCTGTGTGGTTAGTCTAGGACAGCTGTCCTGTAGGACAGCTACCTCCTCATAATCATAGCCTGTCAACACTCAAAGCAGGATGTGGAATGACCCCCAAAATGAAGGAAGGCTAAAAAAACCAGTCAAGAATTCCACCAATTCAAGTCTTGGTTCTCTAAATTCAAGTGCAGAAGTTTCCACAACACTATTAACTGGGACAGACTGGAGGACACAGATGCAAGAAAGGCATCTTGTCCTTTGAAAACTAGCTTAAATGACTCGATACCCGGTACTACAATTTCCCCTGGGACATTTATGAAAGCCTTTATATTCAAGGCAACACAAACCCAAAGGCTATGGAAGTTAAAAACTGCAACCAAAACATAGGGAGTATGGTAACTTAATCCAAATTCAACATAAAGTACTCTTGCTTCACGATCACCCATATATGGTTGGAAACACTGTCTGTATTTAATGTGGTCACAAAACATCTTCCCAGGAAACCATATTTTGAGTTGCTGATCTGTGCAACTCTTTCCTTATCAAAAAGTAACCCCCAAGAAATCAAGGTAGAGCTCTGGATGGGTGTGGTCTCTCCTTATGACGTGTATAGACAATTAAAAATTAGAAAATCTGTCAAGCTTTTGAAAATGAGAGGATTTTGCATTTCCTCATCTGAAATTCATGACATCTGAGATGTCCTTCAACTGAATTTTTACCAGCTTCTAGAATTTTTTCTTCCCAACTCTTCCTTTTCTGAGCTGAAAGACTAATGAAATCACAGCCACGGAACAGGATAGGCCTACTACCAAGAAACAGCAAACAGCTTGCACTGAATTCAAGATAACATTCATGAAAAGGAGAGGCTGTCTCAAACAACTCTTAGGACCAAACCCTAGAGTCTTCCAACCTCTTGAGTCCATCTTCATCAAGTAAAGATAAAGCTGAAGAAAACCTGATGCCAGCCCAGAGCCCTGGGTTCCTATTTGGTCAGACCAAGGCCAACAGCTATCACGGTTCCTGCCTCTTCGTGTGAGGATGAGGCCATACTCAAATGCTGGAGCACCTGGGCCAGGGGAAGGAAGTTCCATTCCCAAACTGCTTTACTGAAGGAAGCAGCACAGGAGGTAGCTGTGATTTTGTGCTTCGAAGAAATTCTCCACATCTCTCCCAGTAGGCTTTTAGGAACACTTAACATTATCTGATAGGATTAAATATCAACAAAATAGGACAGGAAAACAGATGCGTCTATAATTGACAAAGTTATACACCAGCCTTTGAGTCAAGACCCAAACCTCACCTCTTCAAATGGTAAGTAACTGAACCACCAATAATCAATCCATGGGCACTTGGAACCTGTGGAGTAGTCAAAATTCAATTGCAAAGTCAGCAAGTAGCCCTACTTTAAGTTTGCCTAAGAATAGGCTCCTTCGTCCAAGCTTTCTGGGTGAGGAAGGCAAAGATGGGGAAAATATGGCTTCAGACAAATTAGCCAGTTAGCAATGGTTACTAGTTGGTACGGCCTGTTGCCCTGAATCCAAACGAGGAAATGACCTATCAGCAAAACAGTTATCAGAAAAATGGTCCTCAAATTAGAATCCCCCAACAGTCCCAAATATTAACAGTTCCAAATTTTGGTGTCTTACAAACCACTTCCTCCCTGCAGCAATGCAAATGAGAATGCATTGTCTCTATATCATGCTGACACCACTTTTGCCCCAGAGAACTTGATTGCAAACTTTGTAATTGAGTTGCATTCACCAAAAAGAGGGGCTTAAGCCCTTCAAATACACCTTGTCCGAGAGTAAGACCAAACAAGTACAAGAAAGGGAAGATCCTGAAGGTAAAACCTCTAAATGTATACAGGATTGTTAAGTCTGTTTCTGCTTTCTTTTTGGCTAATTGTAAACTATTTTAGAGGGTCTACTGTTGTATTTCATTGAAACTGCATTTTGGATTTTGAACTTTTTTTTTAAAGATTTTATTTATTCATTCATGAGACACATACAGAGACACAGGCAGAGGGAGAAGCAGGCTCCATGCAGGGAGCCCGATGTAGGACTCAATCCCGGGTCTCCAGGATCACACCCTGGGCTGAAGGCAGGCGCTAAACCACTGAGCCATCCTGGCTGCCCGATTTTGAGCTTTTTTAAAGTTAGGAAGAGGATAGTATGTGAACATAATAAATGTGACCTAATACTTTAAAAGCTCAGTTGACTAACCCCCCCACCACCACCACCAACCCAGTAGCCCACCAATCTTCAAACAACCAGGTGCAAGCTTCATTTTAAGGGAATTAAGTTCATAGCAATTGTTTCTGATGCAAGGGTTAAAATAGGGATTTCTAATATGAAGTATATGGGGGGAAAAAATAAAATTGGTCATTTCTTTTGACCTTTGTGCTTTGTTGCAAGGTAAGCTTATCCCCAATCCCACTCCAGCCACATTCCTTCCCAAGTTGTTTGGGTCATAAATCCTGAAGTCATCCTTCACTTTGTCATATGCCTCATATATTCCCCTAGCACATCCAGTTCACTCCCCTTTGTGTCATACCTAGAATCCCACCTCTCTCCATGTCCACTGCTACCTGGACCGAGCCATCACCATCTATCATGTGGGTTACTACAGAAAGTGCCTCTCTGGTCTCCCGCCCTCGCCTCCTACTCAGGTCTCCACAGAGGCCAGAGTGAGTGAGATCCTTCCAAAACACAAGTCAGATCATATCCTTCCTCTGCTCAAAACCCTCTAATAGCCTAGCACCGTCTGATCTCTTTCTCAGTGCTGGGAGCCTCTTGTTTCTGGAACATGTCAGGAACACTTCTGCCTCTAGCCTTCACACTTGCTGTTTGCTTTGCCTGGAATACTCTTCACTCCTGATATGCAAATAACTCACATTCAAGTATTTGCTCAAATATAGCTGCTCAGTGTGGCCTATTTTACAATTGCAAACTTCCACTTCCCCAGGCAGTCTCTCCTCTGCATTATTTCTCTCCACAGAATTTACCACCTACAGATACTGTTTTTTATTTATTTGTTTAATGTTTTGCTTTCTAAACGTAAACTATCTGAAGGTAGTAATTTTTCATTTTGTTTACTGCTGTATCCCTAGCACCTAAAACACTCAAATATTCGATGAATGAATAAGCCAAATGCTGAATGTGAAACAGCTTCTGACCTGGGATGTCTTAACGAAAGGAGTAATAATGATGAAGAATAAGTGCATCCCAAATAAGCAGCGATGCACACAGAACAGAGTCGCAGTGAATCAACAGAGTCAACAGCCAACTGAATTCTCTTAGAAGCAAACTCCCTTCTGCAGAAACCGTGGCCCTAGGATCAAATGATTTCAGATGGGTCTCTGGCTTGTACAAGCAAAGTAAAAACCATCTGCCCATTCAAAGTGCCTTTTTATATAAAGACTATGGATGTCGGTCACATTTAAATATTTATGGTGCTTCCAAAAGCATATTGGAGGAAAAAATATATATAAAAATAAAATTGTACAAAGTTCTCATTGAAATAGTAGCTTAAATAAATCCTCTGTCAATACCACCCAGAGGCAGTGACTGGATCCAGACAGGAGAGCAGAAAGCTTGTTACATATTTACATGAGGACACATGACTCCACCTTCATGACACTGCCAGGAGAACCCCTTCCAGGCACAGCTCACCACACAGGCATGAAAAGCAACTGACATATCACTCTACGTCTTGAGTTCTGGTTCTATTTGCCCTTTTTCATCCTGGCTGTCTTCTCCTTTCTTTTTTTCACATGCTTCGGAATTTTGCTTTTTCTTTTCTCTCTCTGGGCTTCTTTGACCATCTTTTTTCTTTCCTGTAAAACAAAAACAAAGTAAAGGAACCTGCAGATTTCACACAGGGTATTCATTTGACTATTGCAACTAAGTGAGAAAATACGTTGAAAGGATAAAAGTGAGTATAACAGGAAAAGATGAAAAGGATTAGGATTTGGGGGATCCCTGGGTGGCGCAGCGGTTTGGCGCCTGCCTTTGGCCCAGGGCGCAATCCTGGAGACCCGGGATCGAATCCCACGTCGGGCTCCCGGTGCATGGAGCCTGTTTCTCCCTCTGCCTGTGTCTCTGCCTCTCTCTCTCTCACTGTGTGCCTATTATAAATAAATAAAAAAAATTTAAAAAAAAAAAAAAAAAAAGGATTAGGATTTGGTGATGCAATCTGGTTCCAAATCTGTCCTTAGGGTTTCTTAAAAGAAATTTGAAGAGTGTCAAAGAGGAATATGTGGGAGGACAGATTAATGTTTGCAACTACTTTTTAATATTCTAACAAAGTGTGTGCAGTAGACAAAGACAGAAAATGCATTCATTAGCTTGGGTATGTCTCTCAGAAGTCTCAGAGCCCACACGCAGTAAGGTCTGAAGGCTTGAGGTAGAAGAGTAACATTTACACAACAGTCCTCCATCATTCACTCAGTAGCGTCTCTTATGGCAACAGCTGGGAGTGGAATAAGTCTTTTGAAATCTGGAAACACAGGCTGAGCTGCAAATCCTCTGTGAAGTGGCCCTTCAATATTTCACCATGGGACAACTCCAACATCCTTTCTGTTTCAGGTGAATGACCATCATTTCTAATCAATGAATTCAGTGTGTCCTCTCTCTAGGCAGTGCCCAGGGAGCTCCTAATAGAAGCCCAGTCTCTACAACATGACCTCTGAAGGCAGAGTGCACACTTAGAAACTTAATACTACAACTAGAAGTACTTACTGATCAATATTTTCAGCCATCATAATCTAGATACTTGAGCAAAGAGAAACAAGACTGGCTTTATGCCATGTTGAAGAACAAGGGAATGTGAGCTCTCAGCTAACCTTTTTATCAACTTCAACGTCAGCAGTGGGTTTCTTAGAGCAGGCCTGGTCTTCCTGCTCTTCAGAGTCTGTGTCAGAACACTCAGAGCTTCCAGCCTCTTCTGAATCAGAACAAGTCTTTTCCTTATCTTGATTTTCTAGAAGCGCAGGGACCTTGAAAAATATTATAAAACCACATTATTCTAAACCACTTAGTTATCTATTATTAAATGTGTTAATGCTAGAATTCATATTTTTCAGCATTGCAGGTATACACTGAAAAACCATATCCTGTACTGAAATATCGAGAACAACAGTATCAACATCCCACGAGGAAGTGTGGGAGCAGCGCATCCAGTGAGGCTGCCAAACACGCCCAAATGAAGGAACTGGGGCTTAACTGGGTGACCCAGGTCACTGACAGAACTGAGCTAGCATCTGGAAGGATGAGAAATACAGCAGAAGTAAAAAATAAAGATCAATTTGCATAATTTCACGGCTCTCTTCTTATGAATTGAATTTCAAGCAACAGTTACTATTAATCCAATCAAGAGGGAAAATATTTAAACGAGAAATTTTCCTTACCCACACCCCCTGAAGTTTACAGTTTTTAAAGCAGCAGGAAACATTTTTAAAAACCAAGAAGTTTTCTCTTTATAAAAAAAAAATCTTTAATAGGCAATTGTACAAAAGGTTTTCTATGCAGTTTTCACAAAATCTTCACGTGCTGAACTTAAGGCACAACTGCCCTTATACTATTTATAACACAGACTGAATATGTGAATTTTCCTAATTCAACTCTTCCAAAACAAAGACACAGTAAAATTTTCAAAATGCAAACTATGATCCTTCACACTTAAGTCTTTAATTAAGAACATTAAAATAGAGGCGCCCGGGTGGCTGAGTCAGTTAAACATCAGACTATTTTTTTTTTAATAAAAAAAAAAAATTTTTTTAAAGGTTTTATTTATTTATTCACAAGAGACACACGGGGGGGGGAGGGCAGAGACACAGGCAGAGGGAGAAGCAGGCTCCACATAGGGAGCCCGACATGGGACTTGATCTGGGGATTCCAGGATCACACCCTGGGCTGAAGGTGGCACTACACCGTTGAGCCACCTGGGCTGCCCAACATCAGACTCTTGATCTCAGCTTAGGTCTTGATCTCAGGATCATGAGTTCAAGGCCCATGTTGGGCTCCACGCTGGGTGTGGAGCCTTCTTTTTTTTTTTTCTTAAAGATTTCTTTTGGGAGAGAGAGAGCGCACAAGCAGGGGGAGTGGTAACCAGAGGGAGAGGAAGAAGCAGACTCCCTGCTAAGCAGGAAGCCAATGTGAGGTTCATGTGGGGCTCCATCCCAAGACCCTAGGATCATGACCTGAGCCAAAGGCAGATGCTAAAGGGACTGAGCCACCCAGGTGCCCCATGTGGAGCCTACTTTAAAAACAAAACAAAACATTAATATAAACAAGAACTGCCTTTATTTTTGCTTACATTAGAATTAATCCACACCATTCTAAAAATGTAAAACAAAACAAAACAAGATTGTTTCAAGAAAAAACACTACAGGAATCCAGAACTAGAAGGCTGCTAAACCCATGAGATTGCTCAACAGGTTATGTGCCAGTATAAGACCAGATTCTATCGTTTTTTTAAACTGTAAAAAGATCAAGAAACATATGGTTATCATTAATAAGTTCATAAACGAAAACCAAAATATAAAAAGTATCGATGCCTCAGCAACAACAGAAGAGAGGGGCATAAAAAAACCACAAATTCCTGTATTTTAGTCTTACAGTTAAAAAAAGTGAACATAGAGCATTTCTGAAAATGCCCATAAACTTTGAAAGTATCTATACTAGTTATTGTTAGCTTAATTCTAGTATACACTAGGCTTCATAAGCTTCAAAAGAGTATTCACGTAAATGAACAAACACATACCTTCTGAACTCCTGACAAATCTTTCTTTAATCCTGTAACGGTTTGGTACAGAATCTTATCACCAAAAAGACAAAAAGAAGAATCAACATAAAACTAGGCAGTGAAAAACACATGTATTATTACAAAAAAACATTGTACTAATAGTGCTTAAAATTCATCTCCTGGTTAACACAGGAGGTTTATAGCATATAATTCTTTCCCACCAACCATATAGGCAAGTAAACTCTACCCACAAGCAACCCAAAGCCTGATGGTTTTTACAAATGAATCTTCACCACCAATTTTATACTAGAAAACTCTTTGATTCTCAATTAAATGAAATGTATTCTCATCCCCTCCCCTGCCTCAAAATAACTCTATTCTTCTCTATCGGGAATCGTGAAAAGCTGTATTTAGTTATTAATAAAAGGCTTTTAATTTCATCAAAAAAATTGGGGAAATTGTTTCTTGTTTTATAAAGACCTATATAATTGCCTCAATTTTACTTCTTAGCCTGCAAAGTCTAAAAATATTTGCTCTCTGGCATTTTCACAGGAAAAAATGTTCCAGACCTTGAAATATGTATGTTAATGGACCTAGTATAATAATACCATTTACAGCCCAGACTTCTACACAAATCTTCCACTTTCTGCAACCATATAGTTTTCTGAACTCAAATGTGCCATTTTCTTTCACAAATACCAGTGAATTCCCTTTACATCCAATGTGCACGGAGGACCTATTTATTAATGCAAATGGAATCAGCCATCTCACGAGATTAGAAGCCAACATTCAAGGTGGCAGGTGTGCGACAGTAGCTTCCTCTGTAAACTTGCTTGCTACATAATAAACCAAGCTACTCACATTGTCTTGCTGGGCATTCATGGCCATGTCCTCTTCCTTCAATTTCATCATTATATCTATATCCCGTTCGTAATTTTTTACTTCATTCAAGGTTCTAGGAATATATGCTCGCTTAAACACCTAGTGAACAGAGGAAAGTAAAATCCAAAATGTCATTCACAAGCTTTTCTCATTCCCTGAGCATCCCACACCCATCATATCAGAGGAATCTGTCATCATCTACAGCACTGATTCTCAGCCAGGCTCTCTGCAAACACTTGTGTGGCTGTGTGGCATCCCAAAAGGACTTTGTTACTAATGATAAAACATGAAATGATTCGAAGTCTCTTCTTTCTCCTCATTCCACTCCCAAAATCTTTTCTGGGTGGGAAAGAAAGGAATGGAACTGTGGTTAGCAAGTGCTGCCCCTCGCTATGCCTTTGAAAGAGGAACATGTTCTTACATGGAAATCTTATCTACCCTGTGCTGCGGTGAAAAGGAGCCAGAACTGTTGATAAATTCAGGGTGCCTTATATTTATCCGTTACACTGATAAGCTTTGAGAATTTTTGTTAGAATTCTTTATGGGCTGTCTGGGTGGCGCAGTCAGTTAAACGACCAACTCTTGGTTTTGGCTCAGGTCATGATCCCAGGGTCATGAGATCAAGCCCCACGCTGGGCTCTGTGCTTAGTGTGAAGTCTGCCTGAGGATTCTCCCTTCCTTTCCCTCCACCCCTCCCACTTGCGTACTCTCTCAAATAAATAAATCTTTAAAAAGTACACTGATCCCCAAGGTTAAAATAATTTTCTTTTTCACCACACACAAATATTTCAAGTCTGCAATGGCACTGAAGTCAACATTTAAAAATTCACATTTGTGAACTGAAACAGGCTTTTCCTTCTGGAATCATGTTTCAAGAGGTTGTTTAAAAACGTTCTCTATCTAAAGCATCATATTCCCTAATTTCAAACTACACCACAAATCTGTAATAATTGAAACAGTATACCACCAGCACAAATACAGACACATAGATCAATGGAACAAAATAAAGAGCCCAGAAATAAACCCACACATATGTGATCAATTAACTTACAATAAAGGAAACACAAACATATAATGGGGAAAGGATAGTATCTTCAATAAATGGTATTGGGAAAACTGGACAGTCACATGCAAAAGAATGAAACTGGACCACTATCTTAGCATACACAAAAGTAAACTCACGACAGAGGAAAAATCTAAATGTAAGACTTAAAGCCTTAAAATTCCTAAAAGAAAACAATGGTAGTAAACTTAAATGCAGTCTGATTTTTTTGGATCTCTCTCCTCAGGCAAGGGCAACAAAAGCAAAAATAAACAAATGGAACTACATCAAAGTAAAAGCTTTTCACAGAAAACAAAACTATCAACAAAATGAAAAGACAGTCTACTGAGTGGGAGGAGATATTTGCAAATGATGTATCTAATAAGGGATTAATATCCAAAATATATAAAGAACTCCTAAAACTCACCACCAACAAAAAACAAACTGATTAAAAAAATGGGCAGAAGACACAAATAGAGATTTTTCCAAACACATACAGATGACTAACACACCCAAGACAACATGCTCAGCATCAATGATTATCAGGGAGCTACAAGTCTAAACCACAATGAGATACCACCTCACACCAGTCAGAACAACCATATCAAAAAGAAGTGATGGCTAAGATGTGAAGAAAAAGAGAATCCCCATGCACTTCTGGTGGGAATGCAAAATGGTGCAGCCACTATGGAGGTTCCTCAAAACATTAAAATAGAATTACCACAAAATTTGGGAATTCTACTCCTGGGTACTTACCCAAAGAAATTAAAAACACTAATTCGAAGAGATGCTGCACCCCTATGTTCACTGCAGCATTATTTACAATAGCTAAGGTGAGGAAGCATCACAGAAGTGTCCATTAATAAAGAAAATGTAGATACACACACACAAACACACACACACACAAACAATAAAATATGACTCAGCCATAGAAAACAATGAAATTTTGCTATTTGTTGTGACATGGATGGATCTTGAGGGTATTAGGCTAAGTGAAATAAGAGAAAGAAAAACACTAAATGATTTCCCTTATATGTGGATTCCAAAAAAACCAAAACAAATGAGCAAACAAAACAGAAAAAGACTCATTAATATGAAGAACGAACTGATGGTTGTCAGACAGGGAGAGGATGGGGCAATGAGCAAAATAGATGAAGGGGATTAAAAGGTATAAAACTTCTAGTTTTAAAATAAATACATCACAGGCATATAAATACAGCATAAGAAATAGTCAATAATATTATAAAAACTATGGTGACAGATGGTAACTAGACTTATTGTGGTGACCACTCAGTATGTACATAAATGTTGAATCACTGCTGTACACCTGAAGTAACACAGTACTGCACAGCAACTATTGTTCAAATAAATAAATAAAGCTCTCCATCTAGGACAATGGGCTAATAGGCTGCTGAGTGGAATGAAGTAATTAAATGTAATTTATAGAATTTGGTTCAGTTATGTTATATACAAGGTAATATTCTCATCATTTGAAAACTGCTTCTCTCTGAAAATCAAGTTCGTAACCTAGTATGCCCTTAAGAAAACCAGAACCTCAAAACAAAGTGTTTCCTATGGCTTTGAATAGATAATACATCTTACCTCCTCATCCACATGATCTTGGCTGGACCTTTCTTCCTTGGTCCTCTGAGATGCTATTTCCATGGCCTGGGAAAGAAATAGAAAGTTACTTTCCTTTATGTTCAACCTACAGAAGATGCATCCATTTCTCACTTTAGTACAAACCTGCTCTCATTTCTATCAGTATCACCCCTACACTTCTGGAAGAAAGGCCTCTAGTGATACAGGTTAGCTGTCGGATCTCATCAAAAAGGCTGCTGTCAGCTCAAAAGTAACAGCGTAAGTCAAACTATCTAGCCTCAGGGGATTCCTAGCCCTTTCCTCAAGAGTAAAATTACTTTCCCTAATATTTTTTTTAAAAGTAGGCTCCCCACCCAGCACAGAGCCTAACGCAGGGCTTGAACTCAAGACCCTACTTTTCCCAATTTTTAAGTGATTAGCAAAAATATTACAGGAAAACCAAGACCTGAAGATTTTGAATAACTGCCCTTTAATTCGTGAGCAGTCAACGAAGGAATCCAAGAGAAGTGGATCGTCCTCTAATTTTGCGTATGTGTCTCTAACACTGAGAAAGAACAAACCGCCAAAGGAATCTCTTTGAGCGGGATCCCTGGGTGGCGCAGGGGTTTGGCGCCTGCCTTTGGCCCAGGGCGCGATCCTGGAGACCCAGGATCGAATCCCACATCGGGCTCCCGGTGCATGGAGCCTGCTTCTCCCTCTGCCTGTGTCTCTGCCTCTCTCTCTCTCTGTGTGTGACTATCATAAATAAATAAAAATTAAAAAAAAAAAAAAGGAATCTCTTTGAGCAATTACTGCAACCAAGGTGACCAAGACACATAAAACACATAAAACTTATGTATTTTTGGCTTATAAACACATAAAACTGGAAATTTGTTCTCTACTTAGAATATACAGAAAAAAAGGAGAGAATCATGGTGCTAGAAATTTTTTTATTTTATGTTCAGATATTAAAATTAGTGCTGAAGAATTTAGGAATAAAAATGCTATATATTTATTCAATTAATATATGCAAGTGTTCAGTATGTTCCAGGTACTGGTTACAAACTGGCAATACAAGAATAAATTTCCCATCCCTTGAGGGTTCGTGGTCTAGTAAGAGGTTGACAACATTAAAAAGAACTTAATTCCCAGAAGCTCCTGGGTGGCTCAGTTGGTTAAGTGTCTGACCCATAATCTCAGCTTGGGTCTTGATCTCAAGGTTGTGAGTTCAAGCCCCAGGTTAGGCTCCAAGTCTAGCAACTTAAAAAAAAAAAGAAGAAGAAAAACTTAATGACAAGTGAGGCAGTACGACCACTTCTACTATAGGCTCACATGATCTGAGAAATAAGCCTGCTAACAATGACATGTGTCTGATTTCTCGTGGAGAAAGCTTCCTCAACAGAACTCTAATGTTGACAAGCTAGAGAAAAAGATGGGGAGAATATGAAGAGGTATAGTACCTGGAAAACTGTGTCAGGATGTGCATGCCATGTGCCCAGTATTCCATGATTGAGAGGCAATAAAAGTGAAAACAGATAAACTGACACCAAAATCAAAATGCTACAATCAGTAGCAGTACAAAGAATGGGAGAAAATACCTGTAAATCATAGATCCGATAAGGGGTTAATATTCAGAATATGTAAAGAAATCTTGCAACCCAACAAGCGCAAAAAAAAAAAAAAAAATCATCTCATTTAGAAACAGGCAAAAGGCTGCAGTAGACATTTCTCAAAAAAAAAAGATATATAAATGGACAAGAAGCACATGAAAAAAGATGCTCGACATCACTAATCATCAGGGAAATGCAAAACTGAAACACCACCTCACACCCATCAGGATAGCTAACCCAAAAAAAAAAAAAAAAAACCCTTCCACAAAAACAAAACCAGAAAATGGTTAGGATGTATGTGAAGAAATCGGAACCCTTTGCACACTGTTGGGTAAGAATGTAATATGGCTTAACCACTAAGGAAAACAGTATGGCAGTTCCTCAAAAAATTAAAAGCTGAATTACCATACAACACAGCATTTCCACTTTTGGGTAGATACCCAAAGGAATTGAAGAGATATTTGCGCACCCATGTTCATAGCAGCATTATTTACAACAGCAAAAAGGTGGAAGAAACCCAAGTGTCCACTCACAGATATATGGATAAACAGGATGTGCTTGCACACCATGAATGAATGTTGAGGACATTATGCTAAGGGAAATAAGTAGCCAGAAAAAGGAAAAGACATCATGACTCCATGTATATGAGGTACCTAGAGTAGACAATGTCACAGACAGAAACAGAATGGGCTGGGGGGAAGGAGAAACAGGGAGTTAGTGCTTCATGGGTATAGAGTTTGTATGTTACAAACTGACAAAGTTCTGGCCATGGACCATGGTGATGGTTGCACAACATTATGTGAATGTACATAATACCACTTACATGTGGTTACGATGGTAAGTTTAATGCTATGTGCATTTTATCACAATTCCAAAAACTCTGATTCAGAAAGGCCTCTGAGAAACAAGGGAAAGACCAGAAGCAAGTAAGTTTCTCACTAAACAGTCACAAACTTTGGCGATCTATGTAATCTTGCCTGATGCTTCAAGTCGAGAAACCTGGCATTCCAACTGGCTTTTGATTCCCTATGTGTGAAATCAGGAGAAAGTCTCAGGACGCTGTTGAAATGAACAAACACTGAGCAATCTGAGTCTCCAAGAAGTGCCACGTAAGTGCAAATTACTACTACTTTCTGTTCTTTTCTTCACCCCATCTCACCTTTGAGAGGTAGGCGTCCATGTTCTCATGTGTAATGGATGGATCTGTGACAAATTCAAAGAGCTCCCGCACAGTCATCACAGCAACACTGTGCTTCAAAAAGAAATCTGTTGGAAGGAAAATGCAGTACAGCTTTAAAAGGGAAAAGGTTGTTATTCCAACTACTTTATAGAGAAACAAAGACATGGGTAAAAATATAAAATATACCGTCTCCCAGCAAACAGGCTAAGTATCACTACATCAAAAAATTTAGTGCCAACATCTTGAATCAAGAGCTTACCAGAGTACAGAACCAACATATGCAAATAAGCTGGTAGGAAATTCTAATTTCCACTCACCATTGATATTGGCACAGTCTTTTCTCAAGAACTCCAAGGCATGTGGGTGGTCATGCTCTACGGACTGAGAAACGTCAATGATGTACACATCTCCACTATGGTACCTGTGGGCCAGACACACAAGGACTTGGGATCTACTTTCCTGAATTTTTGTTGTTGTTGTTTTAAAAAAAAATTCTATTTTAAGAGCAATTTGATCTAACCAATAGATCAAATAAAGTGGGTAAGGATAAGAGGCCACTTTGACTAGCAAGAGATGAAAACTGAGACAATTTCCCAAGTACTATCACTCTATTAATGATCAGCTGGTCAATTCTGTGACGAAGGCCACTACAGGCAGAGAACACATGCTATCCTATGACCATGTGGAAGCCAACTTCAAAACTTTAGAATTTAAAAATGACTTCTTGGGTTGAGATTTCATTTTTTTAAAGGACACGAAACGCCATACTGGAAGTTCCTCGGGGACCAAACACACTTACAGCATGTTAAATTCACTGAGATCTGCATGGACAAGTCTGGCATCCTGATACATTCTTCTCATGTACTGGATGACCTGCAGATACAACTCCCGAGCCTTGGATTCTGATAACTGGACGTTTTTCAACAGTGGTGCTGGCCTTCAATACAAATAAAATAAACTAAGAGAAAATGCCCAGAACAAGTTTTCTTGGTTTACAATACATTGCTACATGGACTTCTTTTTGACAAATCATCACTAAAAAATCTGGGTCACTACAGATGTACCAATGCAAAAAAATTTGTCAAGAAACAGGTGTTCTCCCAGCTTACTGTATAAAACATCCCTCAAAAATAGGGTGAACTTTGTTATTTTGAAGCATTTTGGGACTTAAAAAAGTAGAATAAGTTAGCTCTGTGCATGATAGTGGAAAAGATTCACAAAAAACCTTCCAAGCTGAAAGGAGCTATTTAAATGGGAAATGGTCATACACTGGATAATCCAAAGCACTTAAAGACACACTTCTGAGCATGTAATTATTAGGCATTCCATGTACTCACATGTCGTCTTTACCAATGAAGCCCATGACAAGAACATGACTTCTCAGCAGGATAGGCTCTGGGCATGGGATCTGTGCTGTGTTTAGTCTGTGGTATTCAATCAGATAAAAGGACAAATGAAAAGGTGACATAGAATCTCCAGCAAATTAAATGGCTACAGAACACAAGATCAGTATTACTGTAAGGTAACAGCACCAACACATCTCAACTGTATTACTGTATTTCATCAACTTTAAGGCCCAACATATCTCAACTGCATTACTGTATTTCATCAACTCTAAGGCCAGTGATTTTAAGTGGTACCATGATGCACAACCAAGAATGACACAACACTGGCAATTTAACTACATCTCACAGCCTCTCATGTGGGGTGCTTGGGTGGCTCAGTCAGTTAAGCATCTGCCTTCAGCTCAGGTCATGATGCCAGGACTTGTGGGATCGAGCCCCAAGTTGGTCTCCCTGCTCAGCAGGGAGCCTACTTCTCCCTCTCCCTCCCACTCTCCTCGCTTGTGTGCGCTCTCTCTCTGAATAAATGAAACCTTAAAAAAAAAATTATTGCCTCTAGTGCTCAGCCCAATTCCAGAGATATCCAACTGTGCAATGTGCATCTCAGAACTGATGAAATGCAGCAGATACGTCTTCTGAGTTGATTAGACTCAACAATGAGTAATCAAACAGTTGGGTCTCAGGGCTCCTGACTGGCTCAGTTGGTAGAGCACATGACTCTTGACCTTGGGGTTGTGAGTTCGAGTCCCACACAGGGTATAGTTTACTTACAAAATAAAAACCAGTTGGATTCATACCTGATAGCTAAGTGAGCATAGGAAGATTTCAGAAGACTTTCAAAACAAGTACTTAACACTAAAATATCCAACATATGTCACCAATGCACAGCATATAAAAAATTAAAAGGTATTTGAAAGAGGGAGGAAAAGAATAGCTTCGAATTTTTGAGAAAGCTTGATCTCAACTAGGTTAGTTGCCCTCACCTGATATCGAAGTGTCAGTACAAAGAATATATAAATATGTCCAAAATTGGACCGAAGAAAAGGAAACTATAATAATAGTATAGGACCTAACAAAACTATCTAAAACTCCAATGCCTATAAAAAATGACACATGAGCCTCAAAACCTGATTGTCATTTCCCTGTTTAAAATCTTGCAATACCCTCCTATCATCCTCAGTATAAATTTTAAATGCTTTCACACACCTTCCAAGGTGCTTCAAATGATCCAGCCTTGCTGAATAAATGTGAATTTTTCTGTAATGGGTTCTCAAAAGAGAGAAGATCAGGTTTTTTGTTGCTTCTGCTTACCTCAGCGGATCTAACAGAAATGAACATCACTACAAGTCTCCACCTTTGGACAGAACCTACTGGGATTTGCCAGCAGGAAGGTGCAAGGGCCAGTATCTTGAGCACAGCACATACACATGCCCCTGAGAGTTACCTGATTAAGTTCCTCATTTCTTTTTCTGCCCAAGTTTTCACCATTTTCCTGGGGTTTCCTTTACAATAGCCATGACGAAATCTGGAACAAGAAAAATATTTGTTATTCCAAACATTCCATTATTCCAGTTTTTATTTTAGGATATAGAAATTAGGCCAACTGGAAAAAGAATCTGAGCTCACCTGAATTCCCCACTTACATACTTATCCCGATCTTTGAACACCAAAATAGAAGTTTTGTAAATTTTGATTGCTCTGCTCTCTCCATTTGCTGTGCTAGCATGGTACACATTAGCCTATTTTGTGTCAAAAAGAAATGAACTTTGTGTTAAATAACGACAAACAGTATTTTAATTTTCACTCTATTTGATTCTATCCTCAAAAGTTTAAAAAACTCAAGTGAACTAAAGCAACATGCATTAAGCAATACCATCATCATCCGAATATGTCAATTACAAAACGTCATACCAAAAGGTATAGTAAGTAGAGCTCTAATTTACACATATAGTAAGATCCACTTTACAGACAAGAAATGGTTTCGAACATTTTCCTCTCTCAAGTGTGTGAAAAATATTTCAAGACATTCTTATTTCATCATTTATAAACTGAGTTTTACTGAGAACTGCTTCCCATAGAAAGAGTTGCTAATTTAAAAACGCCATCGGGGGGGGGGGTGACTGGGTGGCAGACACTGAGGGGGGCACTTGACAGGATGAGCACTGGGTGTTATTCCGTACGTTGGCAAATTGAACACCAATAAAAAATAAATTTATTATTAAAAATAAAATAAAAATAAAAAATAAAAACTCCATCTGTATCCACAAAGAAAAAATGGTAAAGAGATTCATTTACTCAGAGAACCTAGATTAATCCCCTGTGCCCACTAGTAACTATGTGATAAGCACTCAAGCCTGCAGTAATCTGACCATATATGCTTACCGTGAGCATTATCTGCACTCAGTGAACCAGGATAGTAACAGTGGTGAAAACGTATAGTTCTGTGTACAACCTCCTGCCTACCCATAAATATTAATAAAGCTATTTTTAGAAATACTAAACTATTCTGACTTGTGTATTTTTTTCCTTTTTCTTTTAAAGGCACCATTTATTTATTAAGTGCCTTAGTTTCATTTAGTAGCTGAAGTAAGAAAACTAACATGAAAACATTCAGGCATCCAAAGAAAAGCTCACTTCTTTTCCTGTGCTAATGCAGCCATTTATTTCTGATATGATTCCTCTAGTTAACATCTTGAATAATATCATTCGTGTTCTAGGATCCAACACCTATAAAAAGCAAAAAAACCAGAAAGTTCAGTAAGACAGTACCAAATATTTATTTTCTTCTTCTTTTTTTTTAAAGATTTTACTTATTTATTAATTATTCACTCATTCTCGAGAGAGAGACAGGCAGAAGGAGTTGCAGGCTACACACAAGGAACCTGATGTGGGACTTGTCCCAGATCCCAGGATCACGCCCTGAGCCAGAGGCAGACCCTCAACCACTGAGCCACCCAGGCGTCCCTGTATCAAATATTTCTCATTGAGACATTTGACTGTTATTAAACTGAAAAGCTTAAGTACTATGATACCCTGGCTGACTAGATGAGTCTCAATTATGATATTTTTATTCACTCCAATTTTTAATAAATATGACACAAAAGCCAAAGGAATAAGAGACGAACCAATAAATTTGTTCAGTCACAGAAATGAAAGTCTACCAAGTCAAAGGGAAGCAGACATTGACTCTAGACTAATATTAGCTAATAAAATATAAAGCAAGTCACATATGTAGTTTTACATTTTCTAGTTACATTAAAAGGAGTAAAAAAATTGTAGATAAATTTTGTTTTAATATATTTCAAAGTATATCTAAAACACTATCAATTTCAACACATGTTTGATACAAAGCTACCAGCAAGAGACGTAACACTGTGTTTTTTTATACCAACTCTTCATAATTCGGTGTGCTTATGTTTATATCAATTCTCAATTCAGACTAGTGACATTTCAAGTGCTCAGTGGCCACTGTACTGAACATGCAACTTTAAGTCAGGGGTCAGCACCCTACAGCTCATGAATCAAATCCAGGCCACAGCCTGTTTTTCTATAGCCTGTAAGCTACAAATGGTCTTTACATTTTAAAATAGTTGTTAAAAAAAAAAAAAAGGCATTGTGAGCCACAATGCTTAAAGTATTTATTTAACCCTCTAAAGAATTTGCACACCTCTGCTATGGATGATCATGTAAATCAGGAAAAGGATCTCCTTAGAAGTCAGCGTAATCAACTTTCTTTTTAAATTTTTATTTATTTATTTACAGAGGGAAAGAGAACATAAGCAGGGAGAGCAGCAGGCAGAGGGAGAGGGAGAGGGAGAAGCAGGCTCCCTGCTTGATCCCACGACCCCAGGAATCCTGACCTGAGACAAGGCAGACGCTTAACTGACTGAGCTACCCAGGAGCCCCAGACCTATCAGTCTTGAGTAAAAAGGATTCTAAAGTCCTCTTTAACAAAAAAGAAGGCAACGGATTTAAAGCCTGGTCCTGTCCATGTCTGAACTAAAGCAGCCACATATTTACACACAATTTCAAGCAGCAGCATCTCCAGGGAGAAGGTGTAAAGTGGGAAAGTCTAACTATGCTTTAGGGTCTGTCCTGCAGTGATGCAGTTGCGGTCATACCAGAAACCTAAGGTTAATAAGAAGAAAATCCTGGAAGACTGCACGACTAAAAGTCAAACTGCACCTATGGCAACTAGAGCTGGGGCCGAAGGAGCCAGGCAGAATCAGATGGAAGCCAAGTCAGGGGTGCAGGAGGAGCAAAATGCACCAAAATGGCTTATAAGCCAAATAGGCAAAGACAAACACACAAAGTGAATAAATTTACAGACACTTAAAAGACCGTTTATGGTCAAGATATACACTCTTATTCCAAATTAATTTGGAAAGGGGACAAAAAGGATTTCCTGCCTTAGTTATTTTAGGGTTTGAAAACTAGAGCTGCCTCACTTCTCTCGGCTGGACTACCCTTTGTTTTCTATTACACACACACACACACACACACACACCCCACACAAAATAACTACATTAGAGGACAATGAAGACATGGATCCCAGACCTACTCCCGCCTAACTACAGGTGGAATTCTTCAACCGTACAAGTGCTTTTGGAACTCAGGTTGGTGTGCCTCCCTTGTGGGCTGAGGTGGACAGTAGCAGGGGTGGTTATATCTCAAACCAAGGATCTGTGGGTAGAAGAGGCTACTATTGCAAAATGAGCTTATTCCTCTCTGTAGGGGTGTGGAGAAGGGTGGCGGGCAGCAGTAGCAATGTTCTGACCCTTTCTATAACCTTCACATCAAAAATCTGGGTCAATGCTAATACTCAAGCACAATTCTCCACATATGAGAAAATCTTCCCCCACTCCTGAATAGAAAGAATAAACTCTCTACATATGGGAAAGTTTTCCACCAGTCTTGAATAAAAAGAATAAAACAAGCATTAACTTCTAAAGCAAGTAAGAAATTCCTAATTCAAAATTACACACACACATACACATACACCTGCTTTGTGGCAGATACCTATCTTTTGGAAAAGCTCACAAAATTCCTGCTGACCTTGTTTAAAACAAGACAAAAGATTTCTGGTCTTAGTAAATTCTGCTTCCCCAGAGAAGATGAAAGCACTGCATGATGGCCACAGAGGGAAGCATGACTCTAATTTATCTATTAATAGTCCCATTACAAATGAAGCAAAATGTAGATTTCTAAACTCAAAACCACAAGAAGAGTAATTTTAAATAACATTAGCATTAAGCAAGAATGAATGAATGCAAACTATAATCCCAAGAGAAAAGAAATGCTTATTCAAAAATGAGAGCTTGAGGAGAAACCTGGGTGGCTCAGCCTGTTAAGCATCTACCTTCAGCTCAGGCTATGATCGCGGGGTCCTGAGATGAAATCCCACATCCCTCTCCCTCTGCCCTGCCCCGTTCATGCTCTTTCTCTCTCAAATAAAAAAATAAAATCTTCAAAAAAAATAAAAATGAGAGCTTGCAGCATACTTAAGCCGTACCTGTTCCACCGTTGCTCTGTCTGCCTTATCTTTGATGCGATACCTAACCAAAACCAAAAAAGTATATGTGACAATCAAAATTCAGAAACCAAAATAAAAAGTTCCCAAATGTAAATCATTTTGTGAAATTCCTAAATAGGTAGTTTCTTTAACAACAAATTTCATAATTTCATTGTAGTTTATCTCAGTGATGATTCCTTCATGTTCCCTTAATCATCAATTCAATTCCCTAGAATAAAAGGAGCACATATGCAGGAAGAAAGAATAATTCTCTCCAAATTTCAGAAGGATTACATAAAAAGACCAGCAGGGGTAAAGTGAACTATGTTGCAAAAAAAACACACATCGAATTTGTTAATATTGTTCTTAAATCTTTAATGATTCTATTAGCACAGAATTAAAGTCATTTATACTACCCTCGCTTTAGAGTCCCCTTCTACAAAGACACGGGTCTTTATCATCTTAAGATAGTTACTGGGGTCTACATTAAAGTGCAAACTCTGATTGGCTTCAGCTCACTACTGACTCAATTAGCAAACTCATCTAAACTCATAAAGATTCAAACACTTCCACGAAATAACAAATGACTATGGCAGCTCTCTAAAAGCTTATTTATCTTGGGGTTGAGCATCAGAATCCTGATTTCAGCTCAGATTATGATCTCAGAGTTGTGAGATCAAGCTCCCCTGTCCTCCCACTCTGTGCTTAGTGGAGAGTCTGCTTGAGATTCTCTCTCTCCCTCTCCCCCTCCCTCTGCTGGTGTGTGTGTGTGTGCGCGCGCACAAATGTGCTCTCTCTCTAAAATAAGTAAACTTTTAAAAAGAGAAAAGTGGCTTTTTTTTTAATCTCTTGGGTATAGCAATAAACCAGAAGAAAACTGGTTTTTAAGGTTTTTTTTTTTTCTTTTTTAAAGATTTACTTATTTTGGAGGAAGAGAATGCACACGTACAATACACTTGCAAGCAGGGGCAGGAACAGAGCAAGTGAGTGAGCGAGCAAGCGAGAGACTCCCCAGGCAGACTCCTGCTCAGCCTGATAAGGGGCTCAATCTCATGACCCCAGGGTCACGACCTGAGCCAAAATCAAGAGTTGGACAATTAACTGACTGAGCCACACAGGTGGCCCTAAAGTTCAGTTCTAACACTACTAGTTGTATAATCTTAGTATCACTTTCTACAACGTATTGTTAACACCTTAGAGTTATTAGGATATAGAAGTTATCCAGTTCTTAACAACTGGTTTTGAGAAGAATAAATAGAAACTATTCTTAGTTATATCACTAATTTTAAATCTTCCCTTGAATTTTTAAAAATATTTCATGGAAGAGAGAAAATTTTAATAAATTCTTAAAAGGGAACACTTTTACACTCTAACATTTTAAACTACATTTTAATTTAAAACCTGTTACCATCCTTAGAGTACATCTGTGAATTTCACAGACTATAGCTTAACCGTACACTTCTTAAGACTCAATATTTTCAACTTATTAAGGAAAGGATATCCTCATTTAAGCTAAGAAAATAAAAAAAGAAAAAACTGGTTTAAATATACAAAGAAATATCCTTTCCAAAAGAGTTATGACCAAGATACTGTTTAATTTGTGTAGAATTAGTCCCTATAAGCCATGTTTCATAGTTAAATTACTTACATATCTGCTTCCTTTTGCCTAGACTTTTCGGTGACTTTATTTATGACAGAATCGGTAACATTTAGCTTATCTGAAAATTAAAAAATCCACAATGTAAACAACATTTAAGAAAAAAAGACTTTCTGAATAGAATACTTCTCCTATCTTCCTTATTTTATAAATATTTTGTTACATGTAGAATATCTTTCAAAAATGAAACTTAAATAGATAACTGTAACTTTATAACTCGACAGTAGGAAAAACAGACCTAGAAAAGCAAAAGTTAAAGTCTCTTCCTAAAGCCAGGTTTTTAAATTACTGATTTTTATCTTCTTTAAACATTAGTCAGCCAGTAATGCTGAATACACTCATTTCTTGATCTAGTAACATTTTATAAGACTTCACAGTTTCTGAAGAGCTTCCTCAGAGCCCAAATATATTTTCATGAACTCACCTAGATTAATTTTATTCTCAAATTTCCGTAAGACCTTGTCTGCTGGAGTAGACATTTTGGCTGAATTGCAGTTGGAAGTCTGTCGATTTGCCTAGAAGACAGGAGTTTCAGAGTTGAACGCCCTATGTAGAAATACAGATCTAGGGTTCTTAATCATGTGCCTTTTTCCTTAGCTCACAGTTAACTATTAAAGCATCAATACTTAAATGAGTACCCTAAAAACAGGTTAAGGATCAATCATATTTGTGCAAAAATGTTTTTAAAAAGACATTTGAAATAGAACAAAGTTGATGGGTAAAAGAGACTGCTCAATCTGCATTTTTTTAACCTCTCTACAGTGCATTCTTCATTATTATAAATAACAAATTAAAATTAAATGCATTTTTCTAGTTTGACTGCTTTATAGATTTAAAATTTGAAAATGTTCATTTACCCTTGAAGTGTATCACAAATTAGATCAATATTAAATGAGTTCTAAGAGTCTCATGTTGGGCCTACTGTCCACAGAAAGGGAAAGATTAAGTATGAGGCTTATCAACTTATAGTGGCACTATGTACAAACTTAAATAATAGCAAAAAGAGAAGAAAGAACCCATAAATAAGAGAATACAGTAAGATAAAAAGGGCGCAGAGGAATTGCTGACTTGATCCTGTTATTTCAACTTGGAAGTGTGAGGCTGACTTTTTTCTTGCTGCACAGACCTCTTTGAAGTCTACTACTAAATATAACTTTTCAAACATTTCTAAACACAGGTTCACAGCAAAAAAAAAAAAAAAAAAAAAAAACAAAAAACCACAGGTAAAAAGTTTAATCACCTATAATCCCCACTACTCAAATAGCTAACATTTACACACGTAAACTTACTTGTTTTTCTAGCTTTATTAAAAGGGATTACACTCTTTATGTTAAAATAGCTCAATGTCTCAACAATGAATCAATGGAGGAGTTACCAAAACAAGACCACAAGTGTGAAATTCATCTGGTTATTTTTTAAATGCATGGATTCTAGTCCATGATATAGCAATCTTAATATTCAAAGAAATATTGTTGGTTTTGTCCCTCTCATCTCTTTCAGAAACCTTTATGCTCCAGGAAAATGTACTATGTTAATCCTAGGACTCTGCAAACTCCTGGAACACTAAGTACTTCCAGGTGAGAAGGCGGCTCTACACAGTTTGGTAACTTGTGTTCTGTACCTAGTATACGATGGTAGATCATAAACACATCTTCATATCATTAATATAGTTTTCCACTGCAACCTATTTTAAGGCTGCCTAATATCCCATCATGTGAAATCAGTCCCACGGTAAATTTAATCAAGGTTGCTTCCAATGTTTCTCTATAAGCAATACTGGAGAATCATTCTTGTAACATTCCTGGCACAATCCTAGAACTGTTGAATCAGAGCATTTATTTTATGTTTTAAAAGCCCAGGGGATCCCTGGGTGGCGCAGCGGTTTGGCGCCTGCCTTTGGCCCAGGGCGCAATCCTGGAGACCCGGGATCGAGTCCCACATCGGGCTCCCGGTGCATGGAGCCTGCTTCTCCCTCTGCCTATATGTCTCTGCCTCTCTCTCTCTCTCTCTCTCTGTGACTATCATAAATAAATAAAAAATTTAAAAAAAATTTAAAAAAAAAAATAAAAGCCTATTATTACATGCCAGTTTATCCTCCAAGTAACTGTACTTATTTACTCACCAGCAATTATAGATGTTGGGTCGTGGTCAGTTTCATAGGTGAAAAAAATGGCATCTCTACATATTTAACCTGCATTTTATTAAGGAAGTTGAACTTTTTCTTCATGTTTCTTAACCATTTGTAGTGAGTGAACTGCTTATTCACGTCCTTTCCCACGCAGATCTTAAAGCTCATCATCTTGTCATAGTTTAAAGAACTCTTTTTAAATTTACTGATTATTGGGATGCCTGGGTGGCTCAGTGGCTGAGCATCTGCCTTTGACTCAGGGCATGATCCTGGAGTCCCTGGATCAAGTCCCACATCAGGCTCCCTGCATGGAGCCTGCTTCTCCCTCTGCCTGTTGTCTCTCTGCCTCTCTCTGTGTCTCTCATGAATAAATAAAATCTTTAAAAAAAAAATTTACTGATTATAAAAGGAATCTACAATCAGGAAATTATCAGAAATATGAAAAGGATGAAGAATGAAAATGGTTAAAGTCTGGGGCTACAGGGCAACATAACCTGAGGGAAATCTTTCAGGTTAGTCAATTCCGGAATGGCAAAAAGTCCTTTGAGAAAAGATGACATAAACAATAACATAAAGATGTATAGCATCATTTATAAATTACCTGGGGGTTACACCTTGCATTGAAGATATAAGTCTTGGTGAGTTTTCCAACTCCATCATCCCAGTCCCAGTCGTCGTCCTCCTCCTCATCATACTCCTCTTCTTCCTCCTCCATCTCATCTCCACCTGCCTTCTCAGACACATTCTTCTGCAGGTTTTCAAACTGAACATCACCTTGCTCTCTGACGGTCTTCAAGTCAATACTTTCACTAGAAATACCAATGTTTCAGCATGTTTACACATAACTCTAATATGACTTACTCAAACATTTACTTGTGCTACAACAGACCAAGTCTATACTAATAAATGTATAAGTTTTCCTTCCACCGTACCTCCCAATAAAACAGATTTCAGAGCGCCATTCCCATTGTTTGCTCATTCTCCAAGTCCTACTAAACAAGTACAGAAGGTATGAAACCCACTTCTGCCTTAATGAAGTTAGGATTTACACTGTCATTTTCATAAATATAATCCTTAATTTGATCCTTCAATTGCCATAAACCTAGAGTGGCATGTTTAAGCTGGACTTCATTTGTACCAGAACTCCTCAACCTCAGCTGGGCAATTCTTTGTTGTGGGAAGTTGTTTTGTGCCTTGCAGGACGTTTAGCACTATTTCTAGCCTCTACCAACCAGATGCTACTCTGCACATCCCCACCACCCAGTTGTAACAAACAAATGTCTCTAAAGATTGCCAAGAAACTCTGAAGTGTGGTGGGGTCACAAAATCCACTGATTTATCTTCAGTCTTGTGAATAGTGGATATTTCCAGTGATGGATGGTAAACCAGTGCACTCATTACTGTTTATTCACCAGTCGTCACTGGGCTGTGTTTCTTCTTCCTACTTCTTCCCTAAAGATTTATATATGCCTCTTTGGAAACAAAAATCTGGAATGCTTTTGAAATAAAATCCTATTTCTCTGGCTAAATCTTATGTAACCTTCCAGTATTAGCTTATGATCAATTGCTCAGGGAAGTCTTCCCTATTCCTTATCCACTTTTCCTTTGTACTACTTACCCAATTCTAATGCAAATATCTACTGTCTAATTATTTTTTAAAGATTTATTTATTTATTTATTTATTTATTTATTTATTTACAATAGACATAGAGAGAGGCAGAGACACAGGAGGAGGGAGAAGCAGGCTCCATGCTGGGAGCCTGACGTGGGACTCAATCCTGGGACTCCAGGATCATGCCCTGGGCCAAAAGCAGGCGCTAAACCCCTGAGCTACCCAGGGATCCCCATCTACTATCTAATTATTTAATGTTTCCCCTCCTCCCATGCAAGCCCTGTGTCAATCAGGGTGTTGTTTACCAATGTATCCCTACCCACTGACATTAGATGTGACACACAGAAAACGATCAACAATTTAATAAAACCTACAAGTAATGAATCCTTACTGCGAACATAAAGTAAAAACTGTTTGCTTGTAATTCCAAAGGAACTCTTATGTTTCACGTAGGCGTTATCCTTCATTCCTTTTGCTCACATCCGATCCACCACCAGATCTTGTCACTTCTACCTCCAACACATATCTCTGTGACCCTGTCTCTAGCTCCCCTCATGTTTGAACCGAATTACTTTATCATTTTTTTTTCTTTAAAGAGAGAGTGCATGACTTGAGGGTGGAGGTGGGGTGCAGAGGGAGATGGAGAGAGAGAATCTTAAGCAGGCTCCACGCCTAGCTTGAGCCAGATGCAGGCCTGAATCCCACCACCCTTGAGCTGAAATCAAGAGTCAAACCCTTAACCGGCGGAGCCACCCAGGCACCCCCATTTTATCAACCTTGAACTGCTTCCATCCATGCCTATCCTCTCTGGAAGAGTAATTCCTTTAAACCATAAATCACATTGTGTCATTCCCCTGCTAAAAGTGTCTCCTACGTCTTTCATTCTATTCAGACCTGGAAAAACATCGCCAGCTCCTTGTCATCGCTTCCGAGGCTGTCCATGACCCGGCCCCTTCTCGTTTCTCCATCAGAGCCTCGCCATCCTCCCAATTCCTGCTGTGCTCCAGGTACGTGGCCTCTAGATCCTCCCTTCATAGCCAGAAGGGGCAGCCCCGCTGGGCCTCTGCACTCGTCTCCTCTTGCTGAACTGCTGTTCCCTTCTGCTCTTCCCGACTTTAGCTCCTTTTCTGTTGTTCCAATCCGGACTTACCTTTCCCCTGACATTGTCAACTACTCTGCCTATCAACTGATTTCAATTATTTGCATTAGCGCCTAACATCTGTTTCGGGGCTCTTAAACTATCTCTATGTACCCCATGGTCAAGTCCTCGCTCCCATCCAGAAGGCAACGTTCAGGCGACGGCAGGGACTCTCGTCTGATTCATCACCGTCTCCAGCGCCCCCGACAGAACCTGCACACAACAGGCGCTCCGATTCTGGACGTTGGATGCAGCTCAAGAGGCAAAAATCTGTTTCCTGGGCGGCCCGGGTGGCTCAGCGGTTAGCGCCGCCTCCGGCCCAGGGCGTGACCCTGGAGACCGTGGATCGAGTCCCGCGTCGGGCTCCCTGCGTGGAGCCTGCTTCTTCCTCTGCCTGGGTCTCTGCTTCTCATGAATAAGTAAATAAAATATTTTTTTAAAGAAAAATCGGGGATCCCTGGGTGGCGCAGCGGTTTAGCACCTGCCTTTGGCCCAGGGCGCGATCCTGGAGACCCGGGATCGAATCCCACGTCGGGCTCCCGGTGCATGGAGCCTGCTTCTCCCTCTGCCTGTGTCTCTGCCTTTCTCTCTCTGTGTGTGTGTGACTATCATAAATAAATAAAAATTAAAAAATATATATAAAAAATAAAGAAAAATCGGCTTCCTCCCCGCTGTCCCCAGCTGCAGACAGTCGCCTGACCCAGCGATGCTAAGCGACCCGGGGCTCCTTTGGGGGCTCTGCCGCAAAGTGGGATAAAGACCCGGCGGGGATGCGGAAAGAAGCGAGACAACTACTGGTCTCCCTCCAAAGCCGAGGGGGCCGGGGGGGGGCAGCGGGGTCCCCGCGGGGTCGGGGTGTCCGGGGCCGCGCACCTGTCGGAGGAGTCCGCGTCGTCGAACTGCCCCGGGACCACGCGAGTCATCAGCAGCCGGCGGTAGTCCATCCCGGAAGCGCGCAGAGCCCCGGCGCCCGGAGGCCGTCCGCCGCGCGCTGGGACAGGAACCTACCTGGCTCCTCCGCGAAAGGCGGGCGCCACGCGCTGATAACGCACCTGCACCGGCAAACCGGACGCGCGGGGGAACTTCCCTGACCAGAAGTCCCGCCCGACCGGAAGGCGCGGCCCGCCGGAAGTCCCGCCCCTTCACGAGGCGGCGGCGGCCCCTGCGCAGTGGGGGGCGTGGCCCAGAGGGGGCGTGGGAGCCCGGCGGGCGGCGAGCCTCGCGGAGATTGGCTGACGCGGCAGGGTGACGTCACACGCGCGCGAGTCCGGCGCGCCCGGTACCTCCGGCCGTTTTTTAACGCTTTGGGTGCGAGCGGGTGTGACGTTGCTCTTCGTCCCGCGCCGCGACGTGCGGAGGCGGGAGGCTCGAGGTCCTTGCAGCGGTCCGGGAAACCATGGAACCTGGTAGTTAGGCTTAAGGAGTTTGGTGCCGTGTTTTGAGGGTAAACTAAGATAAGTGATTTTTTTTTTTTTAGAGAGTTTGTCATACGACTGAAAACGCCTTAAAACCGAACTAGAGGGGCAGCTGGAGGGCTCAGGGCGTGACCCCGGGGTCACGGGGTCGAGCCCCGCATCGGGCTCCCCCGCAGGGAGCCTGCTTCTCCCTCTGCCTGGATCTCTGCCTCTCTCATGAATGAATGAATGAATGAATGAATGAATGAATGAATGAAATCTTAAAAAAATAATAAATAATAAGTTGATAGAATGTGCCCTATGAACAAAGGTCCAGAAACGTGATTGGAAATTCTAGACCAAAAAAGTTTAAGAAATAAGGCACTTGGTTTTTTGTTGTTGTTGTTGAATAAGGCACTTGGTTTTTTTGTTGTTGTTGGTTGCTTTTGTTTTTGTTTTGCGTTTAGAAAACAAAGATTTTTTTCAGATTCCCTTCACCACAGCGCAGGCAGCATTTATGTGTTTGGAAAGATGGAAAAGGTGATTAAAAAGTTCACTAATCCCTGGCTAGCCTGCTTGACTCACTGGCTTTTTTTTATACTTTATGTGATGACATAGTAGCTTGCAGGGGGAGGGGATGGGAATCAAGCCTCAATTATTATTCCGTTAATTCAGCAATTCAATAAAATAAAATCAGGCAAATGGCCAGTGACTGTAGATGGAGAAGTTTTAGTAAAAGTAAGTCCTTGGACTGCAAGGTTCGTTCAATCAGTAGTCACTCTGTGAAAGACATTGCTGTTTGCTGTAAGGAGTTCTGAAAAATCACGCGTGGACTCCACTGGACGCGCTTATAGTCTGTAAAGTCTGGGGCACCTGGCTGGCTGTAGGAAGAGCATGCGACTTGATCTCAGGGTGGTGAGTTCAAGCCCTATGTTGGGTGTAAACATCACTTTTTAAAAAACGTGTAAATATTGACGCCCTTGAAAGGGTGGCAGAGGTTAATAAGTAAAATGAATAGGTGCTGAATTATGATAGAGATTTTATTTTATTTTTAAGATTTTATTTACTTATTCACGAGAGACAGAGAGGTAGAGACACAGGCAGAGGGAGAAGCAGGCTCCATGCAGGGAGCCCGATGTGGGACTCAATCCTGGGTCTCCAGGATCACGACCTGGGCTGAAGGCAGATGCTCAACCGCTGAGCCACCCAGGCATCCCTTGTGATAGAGGTTTAGATGCAACAACATTGCAGGAATTTTAAAGATAGATGAATGGGTAGATAGCAAGGTCTCAAGAGAGAGAAGCATTTGCCAGTTCAGACTGAAGCAGTTAAGGAGCAGGATCTGACTAGAGCAGGGATGCACCAGATAGATAATGTGGGTCCAGGCCGTGGGAGACCTAGAAAGTCAAGGAGAAAAACTTGGATTCCATGCAATTGGACATCCTTTCCTCTCCCATCCCCTGACAGGCCTGAAGAAATCACAAGAGCATGGGCCAGTGTGAAGGTGTAAGAGGTGGAAAGAAAGCATGGGTTGTGAAAAACATTTTTTTTAACCAAAAATTTTTTAAAGGTTATTTACTTATTTATTCATGAGAGACACACAGAGGCAGAGACACAGGCAGAGGGAGAAGCAGACTCCATGCAGGGAGCCCGATGGACTCGATCCTAGGATCACACCCTGAGCCGAAGGCAGGCGCTCAACCACTGAGCCATCCAGGTGCCCATGAAAAAAATTTTTTTTAAGATTTTATTTATTTATTCATGGAAGACACACACAGAGAGAGGCAGAGACACAGGCAAAGGGAGAAGCAAGCTCCATGCAGGGAGCCCGATGTGGGACTCGATCCCTGGACTCCAGGATCACAACCTGGGCTGAAGGCAGACACTAGCTAAACCGCGGAGCCACCCAGGGATTCCCGAAAGTCATTTTTAAAGGAGAGATGCACAGGACTTGGTAACTGGGTAGCCCAGTTGACGAAGTAGAAGGATACCAAAGGTGTCTCCCAAGTTTTCAAACCAAAATGCCTGAGAGAATATTTTGTGGAACCTGATAGTCCTCTGATAATATTTTGTAAATATCTCTTAAATGACTGAGAGGTCCCTTTATGATCTGGGTCCCAAGTCTTTTAGGGAATGATTGGATAGTAGCCACATATATTGACTTGTTTTTGTCCAAATCAGTATTTACTGCTGCACAAAGTGCCCATGATATACTCAAACTAAAAATTTTTATTTTTCTGATAACCTGACGACGGACATTTAAAAATTTTAGGACAATGAATGTTGCTGCTTTCTGAATGTGAGGGGGAATGGGAGGAGTAACCTCTCTTTACATATACTAATGAACATTAAAATTACGTTTTTGTTAAAAGAAACCTTCCATCATTCAACAGTTAAAAACAAAGACTATCAAAAAGTTTGGTCATCACCTTCAGATCCTGCGCATTTTGAAGTGGATGCCTCTCATGAAAAATTAGAAGGTGTGTTCAAAGCAAATACCATGAATTTCAGCAGTTTTTCTCAAGACTTAACTCACTCACATTTTCCCTTGTGTATGGATACCAACAGTACCACTTCAGACTCGCCTCAGGTGAGCGTTGCTTATAGAGTACTAGGAGGTACAGATGTATTCAGCTTTCACATTGTCTCCCATATGAAAATTTCTTCAAAAACAGGAAGAACACTGAAAGAATTTCCGGTGGAGGCTCAGAGGAGACCCTCAAACAGAGTCTGGTTTTCCTAGTTCTGTTAATGTAACAAAGAATTTTACAAATAGTGTTAACACTGATCCTTCCTGGACTCCCAAGTGAAGTCTTAAGTGTGCAACCAAGGGACATAGTCACAACAATTCAGTCATAGGCAGGAAAAGAGTCAATGGATAGGACATCTCATCTAGAGCATGTTCTAAAATGTCAGCAGGCAAATGATTCAAGTGTCATTCCTTTTTTTTTTTTTTTTTTTTAAGATTTTTTATTTACTCATGAGAGACACACAGAGAGAGAGAGGCAGAGACACAGGCAGAGGAAGAAGCAGGCTCCAGCAGGGAGCCCGAAGCAGGACTCGGTCCGGGTCTCCAGGATCAGGCCCTGGGCCAAAGGCGGTGCTAAACCGCTGAGCCACCCAAGCTGCCCTCAGGCATCATTCCTAAAGGCATTGACAGCCCTGCCTGTAAATGATTTTCTATCTTAATGAAAATTCCAAGTGCCCTTTCTCACCAAATAAAAGATTATACTGTCCGAAATCATGATGGATGCTATTCTAAAAGTTTGAATTTTGAATGTAAATAATAGAAATGAATTAGGTTGTGCCATAAGTAACTGACACTTTGTAGTTCAAAAATGGAGAAATATTGACAATTTCATGTGGGTTAGCCCATAAATTGGCATAACCTATCTAAAGGGCTATTCAGTGACCAGAAAACACATATTAATTGTACCTCAAGTAAGTATGCAAATGAGATATGTGCAGAATTACCTATAATAAACATTAGGGGCACCTGACTGGCTCTGTCAGAGGAACATGTGATTCTTGATCTGGGAGTTGTTAAGTACAAGCCCCACAATAGGTGTAGAGATTACCAAACACAAATAAATAAAGTTTTTAGAAAGGTGACATTTAAAATTAAAAAATAAACTTTAGAAGCAACCCAAATTTTTATCAGTAGGGACTTAAATTATTTGCACAGATGTCAGTAGATATGTAAACCTTAAATATGGTAATACAGATTCAGAACTGACCCTTGAACAATGCAGGGCTTAGGCATACTGACTTCCCTCGAAGTTGAAAAGCTTCATACAACTTTTGAGTCCCCCAGAACAAAAGATCAGAAGCCTTAAAAACAACATAGTCCATTAACACATATTTTGGGTGTTATATTTATTATACATTGTGTTCTTACAATAAAATAAGCTAGAGGAAAGAAATGGGATTACAGAAATCATTACAGTGCAGGGGGCACCTGAGTGTCACAGTTGGTTAAGCATCTGACCCAGTTTCAGCTCAGGTCCTGATCTCAGAGTTTTGAGATGGAGCTACTACCCCTCAGATTCAACCCTCAGTGTGGAGTCTGCTTAAAACTTTCTCTCCCTCCCTCTCTGCCCCTTCCCCCTGTGTGCACACATGCGTGCACTCTCTCTCTCTCTCTGTCAAATAATTTAATAAAAAAATCTTTAGGAGGTTAAAATACATTTACAGTACTATGTTTATAAAAAAATCTGTGTTTAAGTGGACTTGCACAGTTTAAATCTGTTGTTCAAGGATCAACTGTGTATTTGTTGATGTAGAAAGATGATCACATTGCTTCTCACTGGGTAGTGAGCTTTTGAGTGTTTTTTTTTTAACTTTCTTTTTAAAAATAATGTTAAAGATTCTTTTTATAATGATAACTTTTATTTTAATTTCAAAAGAAAATTTGGTTATAGTATTACAGTGTTAATCAGAGTCTAACCATTATGTATCAAATTATGAAGAATGAATGTCTTAAATTATGTCAAGAGGTTCTCTTTCTTGGAATTCACTGAGTATTTATTTTATTTTTCACAAAGAATTTACAGACCGAAGGAACAAAAGGCATATTCTAGTTAAAAATAGTATTATCATAGAAATGCTATGGTAATATGACAAGTAGTGGAGTCTGTGTAAATATGACATCAATACATGTGAATAATGCTATTTTATTTCCCAAGTATATTATTTTTCATACTTCTAAAATCTCCTTAGTAGAAATGGCCTAAATTAGCAAGAAGTCTAAAAAACAAATTGTTGTAAAATATAACTCAGTTTTTCTCCTACTGGAGGTGCATTCAATAAGTGCAACAATGTTATAAAAAGCATGATTGAATTGAGGTTTGTAACCAGCTGACTTTAGTAAGAGATACAAATTTTTTAGAGCATCATTTAGGTCTCACATACTTGATACACTATTTATGATTAAACCAATGCTTTCCTCATTCAAAAAACTTTCTTTACTACCTTACTTACACTATTAATTTACTTCCCAAAACCTTTTATCTTAGATGACATTAAGGGACTTTCAAGAATAAGCACTAGATTTCTATTAGAATCAGATTTCACCTCAAAAAGACTTGAAGAACAGCTATCCTAATAGTTGTTTAGATCAGATTTAACAAACTTCAAAGGATGATCAGAGGTATTATGTTATCATACATCCCCATGTTTATAATAACATGACTTGACATATCAAAAAAACAAAATATTAAAATAGCAAGATACTTGCTTAATGTTATTAATATCATGTCTCTATTTGCATGGTTTTAGTAAGAAGTTCAGATATACAGAAGGGACTGGTCCTAGAAAGTACACTCTACTCATGCAACAGAAAATACTAACAGAAGTTACATAGCAATGCACATACATTCAGAAGAGGCTTATGATATTTGTTTGAAGTATTAATGCTAATGCCTTATTTATTAATACAGAGTGAAATAAAGAATGTAAAAAGGGAAGATGAATCTAAACTCACACTTTCCAGAGATATTTATGGCACACTAGACGATGGATTAGATGGTGAGTATCACTTTGTTGCCAATAAGCAAACAGAGAAACTAAGATTTTTGTGTGTATGTCCTGTGATAAGAGCAATAATAGTAGTGGGCAGGTGCTAATGCACACTTTCTATGTACAGTTGCTTTTAAAACAGTCCTATGAAACAGGGCTTTTCTCTTTCTTTCTTTCTTTCTTTCTTTCTTTCTTTCTTTCTTTCTTTCTTTCTAAGATTTTATTTATTTATTCATGAGAGAGACACACACAGAGAGAGGCAGAGACAGAGGGAGAAGCGGGCTCCATACAGGGAGCCCGATGTGGGACTTGATCCCGGGTCTCCAGGATCAGGTCCTGGACCAAAGGCCGGTGCTAAACCACTGAGCCACCATGGATCCCCTTTTTTTTCTTTTTAAATAAGGGTTGTTTGATCTTCATTTTACATGGGAAGTACAAACCATAAGCAACACATTTGACTATATTAAATTTTTTAAAAATTTTATATGACCAAATGATAAAATAAAAAACAATTTCAGACTAAGATATATGCAGTGTATGCATTAACAAGATTAGTACCCCAAATAAAGAACTCCAATAAGAAAAAGATACAACTCAATAGAAAAACAGGCAAAGAATATGTATTAGCTTACTAGAGCTGCCATAACAAAATATTAAAGAGCAGATGGCTTCAACAACGGAAATTTGTTTTTTCACAGTCTAGAAGCTGGAAGTCCAAGATCAAATTGTGTGAGAGTAGATTTATCCTGAGACTTCCCAGATAGCAATCCTCTTGTGTTTGCACATGGCCTTTTCCCTGTGCCTCCCTGGTGTCTTAGAACACCAGTCATTGGATTAGGGCCACACTTTTATGACCTCATTTAACCTTTACTATCTGTTTTAAAGGCCTCATCTCCAAGTACAGTCACATTTTAAGGTACTGGATGTGTGTGGGGGTGGTAAGCCTTCAACGTATGAATGTTTGGGAGATACAGTTCAAGCCAAAACAGTATCTAATAGATCACAAAAAAGTAAACCTTCATGATTATTTTTTTTATTTTTATTTATTTATGATAGTCACACAGAGAGAGAGAGGGGGAGGCAGAGACACAGGCAGAGGGAGAAGCAGGCTCCATGCACCGGGAGCCCGACGTGGGATTCGATTCCGGGTCTCCAGAATCGTGCCCTGGGCCAAAAGCCAGCGCCAAACCACTGCACCACCCAGGGATCCCCATGATTATTAAAAAGACCATAAAATTCCATTTTGTTCGTATCAGTTTAATGTGCATTATAGTAGAGCAAAGAAACTTGTGGTGGAAGTACAAATTGGTACAACCACTTTGGAGAGTAATTTTGCAATGCCTAATAAATTTGAAGATATAGGGCAGCCCGGGTGGTTCAGTGGTGTTTAGCGCCACCTTCAGCCCAGTGCATGATCCTGGAGTCCTGGAATCGAAACCACATCGGGCTCCCTGCATGGAGCCTGCTTCTCCCTCTGCCTGTGTCTCTGCGTCTCTCTCTCTCTCTCTCTCTCTCGTTTCTCATGAATAAATATAATCTTTTTAAAAATTTTGAAGATACATATTTTATATAATCCAGCAATTCCACTTTGGTATATACCCAGAACCTGAACAAAAAATTCTTAGTGTACATTGAAATGTATATAAGGATGTTCACTGAAGGGTTATTTTTTAAAAGATTTTATTTATTTATTCATGAGAGACACATGCAGAGAGAGAGGCAGAGACACAAGCAGAGGGTGAAGCAGGCTCCATGCAAGGGAGCCCGACATGGGACTCCATCCCGGGTCCCCCAGATCACACCCTTAGGCTTAAGGTGGTGCTAAACCGCTGAGCCTCCCGGGCTGCCCTGAAGGGTTATTTTTAATAGCAAAATTAGAAACAAATATCTAACAAAAAGGAAGTAAAGTGTAATCCTTCAGTAAAATGAACTAGATCTTCATGTGTTTACATGGCTAAATCTGAAAAGCAAAATTTTAAGTGAAATAAAGACTTTTATATCGATATACATTTATATTTTTATATGTAACATATAGGTCACAAATATAATTTGATTCTAATTACATAAAATTTTAAAACATAGAAAATAATATTGTATATCCCAGGGTGCTGCAGGATCTTTTGAAATATTTAGGAAACAGTGATAGCATCTGTTGGATCCCACAAACTACTAGCTTGAGACAGTTCACTATTTCAATGTAAAACCATACTACAACCCTTTCTATAAAATATGATTTGCAAAGCTGGGTTTTTGATGGTTGCTATGATAAAAAGCAAGTATTATATGAAAATCAATGTGGAATAGAAAGTGAGAGTTAATGCTGTCTTATCTGATTTCAAGCTTTGAGATGTGTGGTACACAATAGTACATCCAAGTAGTAAGTTTGGTTGAAATAAAACATGTTTTTTCTTTTGTATGTGTTTGAACATCTACAAACTTGTTAGGAAATACTTAAGTTGAGCTTAACTACTTAATAAACGGAACTCTTAGGTATTTCTTTTGGTCTTTTGGTGCTGCAAAAAATTAGTGAGATGGTCACAAAATTAGAAATTCTGGGAAGTTGATATATATTATTTAAGGCCCATAAATGAGTAGTGAAAGTAGAAAAATATGGATGGGACGAATGAATACATACTAGCTTCAGTTCATCAGTAGTTATCTCTGGGGAGGAGGAGAAGAGAGAATAAAGGGGAGGCATCATTAATTTTATAGCATTTTATTTCTTTCCATCTTGCCTTATTTGCTTCTGATTTTTTTTAATTTTTTAAATTAATTAATTTATTTATTTATGATAGTCACAGAGAGAGAGAGAGAGAGAGGCAGAGACACAGGCAGAAGGAGAAGCAGGCTCCATGTAGAGAGCCTGATGTGGGACCCGATCCTGGGACCCCAGGATCACGCCCTGGGCTGAAGGCAGGCATAAACTGCTGAGGCACCCAGGCATCCCTATTTGCTTCTGATTTTTAAAAACATATTAAGTCTAGATAATGTGTCTTATTGAGAAACAACATACCATAGCATTTAGAAATAGTATTCTAGATGGCTAAAATTAGCAACACAGAAAACAACAGATGTTGGAAAGGATGCAGAGAAAGGGGAACCCTCTTACACTGTTGGCAGGAATGCAAACTGGTGCAGCCACTCTGGAAAACAGTATGGAAGTTCCTCAAAAAGTTAAAAATCGAACTATCCCATGACCTGGCAATTACACTAGGTATTTATCCAAAGGATACAAAAGTGCTGATTCAAAGGGGCACATGCACTTCAATGATTATAGCAGCAATGTCCACGATAGCCAAATTATGGAAAGAGCCCAAATGTCCATCAACTGATGAATGGATAAAGATGTAGTATGTGAATGTGTGTGTGTGTGTGTGTGTGTGTGTGTGTGTGTGTGTGTATCAATAATGGAATCTTAGCCATCAAAAAGAATGAAATCTTGCCATTGCAATGACGTGGTTGGAACTAGAGTGTATTATGCTAGGCAAAATAGGTCAGAGAAAGACAAATATATGATTTCACTCGTATGTGGACCTTAAGAAACAAAACAGATGAACATACATGAAGGGAAGGAAAAATAAGATAAAAGCAGGGAGGAAGGCAAACCATAAGAGACTCTATATTTAAGATAACAAACTTGAGGTTGCTGGAGGGGAGATAAGTGGTGGGCCAAATGGGTGATGAGTATTGTAGGGTGCTTATTGGGACAATCACTGGATGTCGTATGTAAGTGATGAATCACTAAATTCTACCCCAAAACACACTACACTATATGTTAACTAACTTGCATTTATATTTTAAAAAAGAAAAAGAAAAGAAAAATAGTATTCTAGAATCCCAGCTGCACTGCTTACCCACTCTGTGACCCAAGGCACTTAGTAAGTGACTTAATATCTCTTATGTCTCAGGTTCCTTATCTGTAAAACAGGAAGAGTAACAGTGCCTAGCTCATGGGGTTGTTGTGAGATTAAACAAGTTTATGTTTGTTTGTTATTCTATTTATTGTGCCTTTGTATTCTTTGGAAACATAAAACACTTAAAAATTATAACAAAAGATTTTGAATATATCTTGGGATTTGTTGTAATGGTGTTTGGCCAGAATGACATATAGCAAGCTTTTTTGTAGCAGTCATTTGAGAACTTCTGGCCCCCACGTAAAAGTTCTGTTTGGTTGGCTAGCACAAAGTCATGCTGAAATCCACTAAAAAAAAAAAAAAAAAAAAAAGCCGAAATAAATATAATTTTAAAAAGACTCCAGCAGCTTATTTCAGACATGTAAATATCTTAACATATAAAGTTATGGTCAGCTAATTCTTATTTCTATCTTTCTCTTTCTAATGAGATGTCACCACTGGAAGTGACTCACAGAACTTACTAACTCAGCCAGTTGACACCAGCCTTTCTTTCTTCAGACAATTTGAACCCATTTGCAAATTTCATCTCACAGAAGCATTTAATACTGAAACAATAACATTTCAAAATCTGACAGAAGGCTTACCTTACACAGAGAAACCAGAAATGCAAAGTCATGTGTGTAATTGTCCAAAAGACACTAATATAAAGGAAGATTCGTTTAAGGAAGAAAATTCAGTGGGAACTGAATTTAGCACCTCCACAAAGGAAGAGCAGCTTGCTCATGAATGTGTCAGACAACTTTCTAGAAGCCCACCTCTGGTCCATAGCAGTGGAGAGACACTGAAATTCACGGAAATGTCACCAGCTAAAAGTGCTGCCACAGAGGCTGCACTCAAACCTAGTCAAACTCAAAGCTTCTTGTATACGGAAAATGTACACAGTGATGTTAAAAAACCTTTTGACAATGAGAATAACTTTAACTTCCTTGATCTGAGAGCTAATTATACAACAGAGGAGGTAAGATTTTTTTTTTTTAAGATTTGATTTATTTATTCATGAGAAACAGAGATAGAGGCAGAGACACAGGCAGAGGGAGAAGCAGGCTCCATGCAGGGAGCCCGATGTGGGACTCGATCCCAGGACTCCAGGATCACGCCCCGGGCCAAAGGCGGACGTTCAACCACTGAGTTACCCAGGCGTCCCAAGGAGGTAAGATTTTTTTTTTTAATTTTTATTTATTTATAATAGTCACACACATAGAGAGAGAGAGGCAGAGACATAGGCAGAGGGAGAAGCAGGCTCCATGCACCGGGAGCCCGATGTGGGATTCGATCCCGGGTCTCCAGGATCGCGCCCTGGGCCAAAGGCAGGCGCTAAACCACTGCGCCACCCAGGGATCCCAGGAGGTAAGATTTTTGATGGGCAGTATAGTTTGTAGAGTGTTAAAATATGTGCTTTCCAAAAACAACAACAACATGTATATAAGCTGAGATTTTTCCAAGTAGCTAGATAATCTAATCAGCACGAGGGACATTGCTTCTCTGGCAAAAATGCCTTCTGTGATCTTAATCAATTTAGAAACAAATTTCTTCTAATGAAATTAAGTCCATACTTGAAGGTTAGCTCTACTGAATGATAATTTCTTTGAGGATCAGGGCTCTGTCACCTTTTTACATATGTTAGTATCCACATGGTACCTTGAATTATGGGCTTTTATGTTTGGTGAATCCAATTGGCTGGAACTCAGAGTTTACAGTAAGGAAAAGATTGAGAAAAAGGAGAGAGATTAGATTATTTGACAAGAAAATCTTAAAATTTTTCTATCAAGGGATTTCTTTTTTAAAAGATTTTATTTATTCATGAGAAACAGAGAGACAGAGACATAGGCAGAGGGAGAAGAAGGCTCCCTGTGGGGAGCCCGTTGTGGGACTTGATCCCAGGACCCTGGGATCATGCCCTGAGCCAAAGGCAGACGCTCAACCACTGAGCCCCCCAGGTGCCCTCTATTGAAGGATTTCTATTGACAAGCACAAAATATTAATTAGTTTACCAAAGTGAACATTTTAATTTGTCTTTTGACTTATCTTTCTGGGCACACATGTAGTATCCTAAGAACACTGAAGGTGCCTATAGTATAAACTCTGTGTTCTCTGAAAAATTTTTAAAAGTAACAATTTTAAGAATTAGTATGGGCAAATAGGTATAATCCAAGAATAGCAAAAATAGTACCTTTTATTTGTAAGTCTGATGAGAAAAGCTATGATATTATGTTTCATTTGCAAGTATAAGCAGCTTTCTGTTCATTTATTTGGAAGCAGCATTTTAAAAAGAACTTTATTTCCTCTGTTGATTAAGGAAAATGACGTTTTAAAAAAATGTTTAGTTAACGTTTCTCCAGATTCCTCCTTCCTGTATCCACTGCATTTAGCAATTTATTCAGTCAAATATTTTCAGGGCAGCCTGGGTGGCTCAGCGGTTTAGCGCTGCCTTCAGCCCAGGGCGTGATCCTGGAGACCCGGGATTGAGTCCCACATCGGGCTCCCTGCATGGAACCTGCTTCTCCCTCTGCCTGTCTCTGGCTCTCTCTCTCTCTCTCTCTCTCTCTCTCTCTCTCTCTCTCTCTCTCTCTCTCTCCTCTGTGTGTGTGTGTGTGTGTCTCATGGAAAATAAATAAAATCTTTTTTAAAAAAATAGATATTTTCAGGAATCTATTATGTGGAGGCCCTACACTATGTGTTGGCTATAAAAAAAAGATATAGGTTTTTATCCTCATGATAGTAACACCGTAGTAGAGGAAACTCACATTAAATAATCACACAAATGTAGACTTTCAAATATGGTGAGTAGTTACATATAAAGTGTATGTGTAAGTTGTATGTGTTATATAATATTACATATAAACTATAAACAGAAGTATGATAAGTGCTGTGAATAAAATGATGCAAATATTATCGTTCGTGAAGTAGAGGATATTGAGCTGAGCTCTGAAGGATGAGCTAGGAGTTACTAAAGTAACTGTGGGTGGGAGAGCATTCCATGCAGCAGTAACACATACAAGAACCCTGTGGCTTCAGGGAGCATGACACCCAGTAGGACCTGACAGAAGCCCAGTGTTGCTAGATCAAAGGCAGCAGACAGTTGATGTGGATGGACAGGTAGCATGGGTCAGGCATCAAGACTAGACATCAGGAGGGATAGGCCTCAGTAGGAATAGTTGTCTTTATCCCAGAGCAATGGTGAACCATTAAAACATAGGAGTCCACTGTCTCTAAATTCTAGAAAGTGATACAGCCCACCCCTGCAGATATATTTTACAGAGTTTTAAATGTCCTACTCATTTCAGCATTTTCTTGCTACAACTTATTATCCTTTTAAAAAGCCCCCAAAACCTGTATTGTGGGCAGAAAGTCAATCACGAGGCATGGCCATCTGATATTCTTACACTCACAGGAGTCATAGCTGTGAGATAATGGCTTAATGAGCAATAACAGAAGTCTTTGTTCAAGAGTCCTCACAGACTGTAGAGTAATTGAAAAATTTGTCTTAAGTCATTTGAAGTCAAAGAAAGTACCTCACAAGAGTTCAGAAACGTTTGTATCATAGAAAGTGGTGAGAGTATCAAAGCTGAGTTTTTCTTTTGTAAAAGTAAATGTGATACATCTACACATATATATATACTGTTGGTGCTCTGCTGTGCCATTCAGTGCTATGTATATACTTAGCAGTTCCTATGTAAGTATGTTCATTAAAAAGGTATTATTATTGGGCACCTGAGTGGCTCAGTGGTTCAGCGTCTGCCTTTGGCTCAGGTCATGATCCCGGAGTCCTGGGATCAAGTCCCACATCAGGCTCCACACGGAGAGCCTGCTTCTCCCCCTGCATGTGTCCCCACCTCTCCATCTTTCATGAATAAATAAATCTAAAAATTTTTTTAAAAAGGTATTATTATTGGAAGGAGATATTATCATTGCTCTTTTATGCTGAGGAAACCACACTAGGAATCCAGGATTCAAGCAAACTCTATCTGACTTTAAAACTCATGATCTTGACGGGATGAGCACTGGGTGTTATGCTATAAATTGGCAAACCGAACTCCAATAAACACATATACAAAAAATAAAATAAATAAAACTCAGGATCTTTATACTCTTTTTCACACTTACGTACTCTACTTTACAGATTATAGTGTCTTCGAAGGGAGTACAGAGCTTTGAGGATGTTCCTGACATGCCAGACTGTTGCCAAAAGGAAGCTGCCCTGGAGGGCCTGGCCAGTCCAAGGATTGCCTCACCTTGGTTTCCTGCAGGCATTCCTTGGAGCGGTGGAGCACCTCTGGGTGATGGCAAGATGCCTGACACAGAGCAGGAATTGGAAAGCTTGCAATCTCTGGAAGAGGAGATGGCTTACAAAGTCTCGGGGAAATTAGAGCATACTAATAGAAAGCAGCAAAGCCAGATCCAAGACCTGCAGAGTAGCAACAAATATCTAGAGAGGAAGGTGGAGGAGTTACGGATGCAGGATACCAAACAGCAGGTGTTCGTGGATATCATAAATGAGCTGAAGGCCAAGGTGGAGGAATTAATTGAGGACAAATACAGAATGATGCTGGAGAAGAGCGACACCAACAAGACACTGCAGAATTTGCACAAGGTCTTAACTCACACCCAAAATCGTCTTCAGGAAGTGAAGAATGAAAAGGAGACCTTGCAGCTGGAGCTTAAGAGGATCAAGGGCAATTTTGTTCACCTACAGGAGAAGTACATGACGGCAGTGCAACAGAGAGACAAAACCGTCAGCCTGTGCCTACAGATGAACAGAACCATAAGCGAGAAAGAAGAAGAGGTTGAGAGGCTGCAGCAACTGAAGGGAGAGCTGGAAAAGGCTACCACCTCCGCTCTGGACTTGAAAAGGGAGAAAAAGACCCTCGAACAAGAGTTCCTATCTTTACAGGAGGAACTTCAGAAGCACAAGAAGGAAAACCTGGAAGAAAGGCAGAGCCTGAAATTGAGGCTTGAGAAGCTTCTCACTCAGGTTAGTCATTTGCAGTTCATATCAGAAAATGAGAAGGCAAAGAACACTCAACTCCAGCAGCAGGTCCAGGATGTGCAGCAGGAAATCGCAAGGCTTCGGCAGCAGGTGCAGGTGCAAAGTGATGCCCCTCAGTTTGAGACAGTGCAGTTACAGGAACACCCCGGGGAAGCAGTGGAGGCGGATGGCACAAAGGTATCCATCAGGTTCTCCAATGCTGAATTCACAATTTTCCAACTTGCCCACAATCTATTGATGCACATTTAGACACCGTGCTCATATTTGTTGGCAGAAAGAATTACTAACGAGAGAGAGAGAGAGAGAGAGAGAGAGAGAGAGAGAGAGAGAATGGAAAATGTACCACAGGTTTGGAGAAGTTTCTCTAGTTCTTAGGTACTCACATTGCAGAAGAACCATTTCTGAGCTCTTGTGACTATTTTGGTAGAGGTGAAAATTAATGTGGGAATTTCTGGGTACCTGTGACCAATCAATCATCTGAAGCATCCCTGAGGATGAAGGATCTTCTGGGTGGAGATCTCCATGTATTCATGCCACATCTGCCTAACAATAAAACTAAATAATGCAATTATATATTGGTTTACAAGGTCAGACAAACCTATATCACATACTAATTTTGTGAAATTATAAACTTTTTTATTGAGATGTAATTGACATATAACATTGGTTTCAGGTATGCTGCATGATTTGCTATTTGCATATGTTGCAAAATGATCACCACACTAAGTCTAAGTTAACATCTGTTAAAAACAGCATGAGAGCCTCATCTCAATATGTCTGGAGAGGTTGTAATTTTGTATTCTCTGCAGTTCAAATGGCTTTTTTGGCATGGAACCTGGAAGCATGTCCTGGAAGTGATCATTTTCACAAGCCAGCGCACATCTATTTCAGTTTTGCAGGCCTGTCTTAAAATATTTATGGTACAACCTTATTAATTCTGACTACTTAGAAGGCTAATCTGAACTAAAAAAAAATGTGTTTATTTTAAAACTTTTATAACAACTTGAGCTGATTATGTTACCTTGAGGATGTCCTTAGTGGACTTTCAGGAATCCATAATGAGCACAAGTATTGTTGGCAAGTAAGCAGTTCTATTATTTTTTAATGATTCTCAGGAAAATATTGTTCTATGTTTAAAAAATTCTCTTTATAATCTTTCCTCCAGGAATAAGTTAGGATGATCTAACCCAGTGGTTCTCAAACTTTAGCATTTATGAGACTTAGCTGTGAAAAGGCAGATTCCTGGGGCCCACCTCCACTTTTCTGATTCAGTAGGTGTGCCTTGGGGCCCGAGAATGTGCATTTCTAACAAGAGCCAAAGTCTCTCACAATGCTGCTGGGCCAAGAGTCACACTCTGAGAACCACTACCCTAAGCAGAGATGACAAGCACCCCTAAGAGTGATATTTAATTCAGCATATTGCTTGGGCTGTCTGAGTGGCTTAATTAGTTAAGCATCTGACTTTGGCTCAGGTTATGATCCCAGGTCCTGGGATCGAGCCCTGAGTCTGGTTCCCTGCTCAGCTGGGAGCCTGCTTCTCCCTCTCCCTCTGCCCTAAGCCCCCATTCTTGCTTGCACTCTCTGTCTCTCAAATAAATAAATAAAATATTTTTTAAAAAATTCAAGATTTTACTTAAAGAGCAATCCAGACTCTTTGTCTTTATCGTGACATGTCTGAATTGTGTACACATAGGATGTAAAGGTGGTGCATTCTTTTTTTTTAAGAAAATTTTATTTAGGGATCCCTGGGTGGCGCAGTGGTTTGGTGCCTGCCTTTGGCCCAGGGCGCGATCCTGGAGACCCGGGATCGAATCCCACGTCGGGCTCCCGGTGCATGGAGCCTGCTTCTCCCTCTGCCTGTGTCTCTGCCTCTCTCTCTCTCTCTCTCTCTCTCTCTCTCTCTCTCTGTGACTATCATAAATAAATAAATTTAAAAAAATTTATATTTAAGAAAAAAGAAAATTTTATTTATTCATGAGAGACACAGAGAGGCAGAGGCACAGGCAGAGGGAGAAGCAGGCTCCATCAGGGAGCCTGATATGGGACTCGATCCTGGGACCCCAGGATCATTCCCTGAGCCAGGGGCAGATGCTCAACCGCTAAGCCACCCAGGTGTCCAAAAGATGGTGCATTCTGATTTGGTCCTGAATTCCTCACCTGGTGAAGAAGAGAGCCTAAATCCCCTAGACAAGAAAATAACTTCTCAGCTGATCTCCAAAATTCAAAATCTTCTGGCTCTAGTGGTAGAGAGACCACCACATGCCAGGTAATTTTTAAAAATTGTATTTCTGTTGGGGGAGTGAGAAATATCAAGATTGGACAAAACAGAAGAGGCAATCTAAAGCCACAGAGAGTTAACTTATGGGAGAAAAAAATGGAAGACAAAATATAGACCCTTAAGCCAAGCATTCAGCTATTCCTTCCTCCTACTGCTTTTTTATCTTTCTTCAATATCTAATTCCCACAAGTCTCCAATAAGATAACCAAATTAGATAAAAAAAAATAATAAGGGTATCAGACAAAACCCTTCACTTAGTACTTCTTCCGTGACCTGGAAGCTCTATCAGAGTGGTAATCCCCTGGTGATGGGTGAGTGTTCCCATCAGTGAGCCATTGACCCAATCTAAAATTTAGCTTTTGGGTAGAGGGAGAGCAGTAGGGAGTTGGGTACACTGGTGGGATGAAGAACAAAATTGGTGTCAGGTGAGTTTGAATCCTGACTTCACCAACTCTTGGCTTGTGTGCCTTGTCAGCCTTAGCTTCCTCTTCCTGAGTAGGGGAAATGATACTTGCCGCTGCCCTGGGAGGTAACAAGCTCTGCATATAATGAGAGACCATATTACAGGACTGGCATTTGATAGTTTCTCAAATGAGCTGGCTATGTTTCTTCCTCTTCTGTTAATGTCCATTTCTTGGATTTTAAGTGCAGTCATCTCACCCAAAATTGAGGGGCATAGTCTGTGATGGTCCTGATCCAACACAACCCTTATATCTATTTTGTTTCAGCTAAGTTTGTTGAATGCTAGCATTTTTTTAGTGCTAGAAATGGACCTGAGCATTTTATGGGGAGATAACAAAGTGGCGGCCCACAGACTACATCCACCTGAAGTTTTGTTTTTCTATGTGTGAGTCTGAATATGGCACAGACTCTTCTTAGCTACAAACTTTCACATCCCATTTTGTTCCTTCAAACATTTGCTTACTCACCCTAAGGCTTGATTCCCCCCATGTCACTGGAAGCTGCTATTCTTTCTGCCTTATTTGCGAGCTGTTGCTTCTGTACCACACCTCCCAAGGAGGAATGTGTCCCTAGCCCTCTTGTCCGTAGATGTCATCCCATACCAAACAAATATTATGTTTGCTTATTCTGTGTCTCCCACACCCACTACAGCAGAAGCCTTCAACATCGGGCACCTGGGTGGCTCAGTGGTTGAGCGTCTGCCTTTGGCTCAGGTCATGATCCTGGAGTCCTGTCCTGGGATTAAGTCCCGCATCAGGCTCCCAGTGGGGAGCCTGCTTCTCCCTCTGCCTATGTCTCTGCCTCTCTCTGTGTGTCTATCATGAATAAATAAATAAAATATTAAAAAAAAAAAGCCTTCAACATCAGAAACTTGGTGCTTCATAGCCCTGTACCTAATACAGGTTAAGCCCTTAATCGGCACTCAACAAATTATTTATTGACTTCACAACCTGTCTTGAAGTCTTAAGTTTATGTCGCTATTTTTCATGGGTTATCTCATCCAATCCTTATACCATTCTTTATATTATCATGCTTTTTTTCAAATGAGAAAACTAAGATCAGATCGGACCAAATCAAATCATGGAAAAATAAACTGAGGCTTAGAAGAGTCAAGTTTCTTGTCCTTTGTCTCACATTGTGTTAAGCAGCAGAACTCAGATACTAACTCAAGCAGTCCAGCTCATGCACATATTTTTGATTTTGAGGTTATACATGCAAATACCTTCATTCTAGGCACCTTTAAATATCTAGAGTTTCAATATTATTGAGGATATCTGATTACCCTGGTGTCAGACAGCAATTTGGCTGAAATTTGGATTTGTAGGCTGATTAGGCCAGGCTAACAGGATGTACGTGTGGATGCCTAAGCATGTATTGTTATTGTAGGTGAGGATTAACTTCCCAGTGATCATTTAATTGGTACCAAAAACAACTTATATGCAAGGGTAAATCTGCAAGAATTCTTTCCACACTAACCGTTCACTAGATATCTTATGAGTAATTGAAGAATTGAGTCCAATATTTTATCTCTTTTGGTTTGGTCACTTGTTCTGGAATTTTTTGCGTGTTTTTTTTCTGTCCTCCTTTAGCTTTAGGGAAAACTTTTTAATATAACTTCTCAAACTGTTATTCTTAGGCCATCACCATTCCTGATGCTGAACATTTCAAAGAGAGCAAGAAAGTTAGTGATATAATGCTACAAAAATTGAAGCACTTGTATCTTAAAAAGGAAAATTTAGATAAAGAGGTACTGTGTTTATTATTTTTCTAAAAATTGTTTATTTTTTCTGAAAAAAAGTCAAAGAAAAAGGTAACACAAAAATAAAAAGAAAGTCTCCAAATTTGGATTTTTTTTAAGCATTGGTTTTTGAGGGGGCCTGGATGGCACAGTTGGTTAAGTGTCCTATTCTTGGTTTCGGCTCAGGTCATGATTTCAGTGTCATGAAATTGAACTCTGCATCATGCTCCTTGATTGGCATGGAGTCCACTTGAGATTCCCTCTTCCTCTCCCTCTGCCCCTCTTGCTCATTCTCTCCCCCCCAAAAAATAAATAAATACTTAAGGGAAAAAATTTGGAGGGGGGACCAGATTAGTTTTGTTATGGCCCTCACCAAAGAGGTATATTATTCAGTATTTGACTTGTTTTATAATTTAAATTTGTATTAGAAAATACTGTTCATCTACTAAAAATATGGTATAATTATTTTTTCCAGTTTTGCCTGGCTCTACTGATACCTGAAAAATAGTGTATTTTGACATCTTGATAGTGACTTCAGACTTTAGCACTTGGAATAGTGGATACATTGAAAACTGACCATTTTCTTTCTCAAATAGCACAGGGTACAGGAAGGGATTCCTGGAATTTCTTCAATTGTTCTTTGCTTAGTGTAGTAGTGGTACAGAGATGGAGGGATAAATCAAGAGAATCAGTGAAATGGGGAAGGTGGTAACAGGATGTTAACTTGCGCCAGTTTTAACGTGAGAGGAATATAGAAGTGGCAAGTGTATCAGGTAACAGAATAAAAACCTACTCAAATATGGGATCTTGGATAGTAGGAACAAATTCGGTCTTATGCTGTCAGGAAATTACTTCTCTGAACTGAGGTGGATAGAAAATTTGTTGCAGGTATTCTGGGAAGCCTCTTTGTCTCCTAGCTAACCTGATCAGGGAATAATGGATATGAAGAAAAACTTCTGTCCTCCATTTCCTAAACCAGCCTTTAAAAATAAGCCCCACTGAATACAATACAAAAGTTTTGGATATTTGTGGTGTTTTGGTAAATTTACTGAATTATTGGCAAGTGAAATGATGTATCTGTGATTGGACTCTGTGAAAGGTGACTGGAGGGAGGAGGACATAGTTGGGGGTGTAAATGGTACAAAACTGGCCACTACTGTCAATAGTCAAAGCTGAGTGATAATTACTGGAGGTTCATTAAAGTTTTTTTCTATTTTTTTTAAATATTGGAAATTGTTGGGGCACCTGGGAGGCTCTGTCAGTTAAGTGTCTAACTCTTGATTTTGGGTCAGGTCATGATCTCAGGGTTGTGAGATTGAACTTTACATTGTTTATAAAAAATAATTCTGTGCATCACACTTTACCTCACTGATTTTTGGAGAAGTTTGAATCTTAAATATTAAGATTTATTGTTATTATACTGAAGGAACAAATAAATGATTATAAATTAAATCTAGGGTAGGTTTTTTTTTTTTCCTTTACAGAAGAATTCTGATAGCCTGACTGTAAAAACAATTAAATATTGGGATAAGCTTCCAGAGACCCCAAGCCCACCCTCGGGTTCTGTGGTGTGCTAGGTAGGACCCATAGGATTGAGCATATGGTGGTACAACTAAGTTTCACAGTGAGAGGCTACACAGCAAAGTTAGCACAGGGGAAAGGTGCTTGGGGCAAAGTCCAGAGGAAACCAGAGTCAGACTGCCAAGAGTTCTCTTGTGTGGAGTCACAGAAGAAGCACTTCATTTTCCTAGCAATGAGCTCTGACACTATGTGTGAAATTTGTGTCAGGGTCTCATTATAGTCCCAGCACCCAGGGTTTTTACTGGGGGCTGCTCGCCTAGTCATGTCTGCCTAGCACGTACTAAAACTCTGAACCCTCTAGAAGGAAAGAGGCATTCAGTATAAGCTGCACGCTTTGTACAAATAGGGTAGGCACAATGAGCCATTTATATTTTAGAATGATGAAAATCCTTCTGCAATCCAGGTTCCCACATGGCAGTCAGGGGGCAGCATGACTAGCAGGCCTTCTTAGGGAAGCAGCCTCAGATCTGCTGTGTGAACTCTTTTCTGTACAAGAGCTGTAGAAACAGTTGATGTTTGGAGACTGGGGAGTGGATGGTGCATGGTTTGATGATTTTATTATAAATGTTATTTGAATGTAGTTTTATTTCTTCTCCTTTTCTTTTTTGAAATATAAAATGCTTTTTTCCTTAGGTACTGGAACATAGAGCCAAAATCACAGCTTTTAGAGAGTTAATTGCAAAAGAAAAAGCATTTCAAGATCAGATTATTGAGGTGAGTTTAACATTTACTGTGCATTGTTTAACATACAAAAATAGAATTTCAGATATTTGTGTTCTTTTGGTAAGTTTGTTGAAATCCTTCTAGCTCTACGTTCTACACTTCTATTATTCTAACCACTGAAGATCTCTTTGATTACTAAAGTTATAAAGTATTTATTGTCAGATTTTCCAAGGAATGTGAAAGTATTGGAAGCAAACACAAGTATATATTTAATCTCAGGTTATAGGCTTTGATTCAGATGAAGCCAAGAATGTTAGAGATACCTATCTTATTGGGAGCCACGCTGATTAAGTACCACAATCTGAATGAAGATCTTGATTTCTTAGTAAGAAAGACCTTTTATTGCCTTGCTAACATTTTTATCCATAGCACCATTTTATTAACAAGTTTAAGAATATCAACCTTCAAATAATGTGTTCGCTAAAATGGTCACACACTGGCACTGTAGCAGTATTATTCAACTATTATGTGTAGAGTTTAAGTTCTATACTTTGCATTTGCAAGTTTTGATATTTTACATATTGTCCTATCTGATTGCTGTTTAGACTAATATTTATTTCTTTCAAAATGCAGAAATAAAAAATATGTGCTGTTTTTCACAGTGATGGAACACATTTGTATTTTTGCATATGCTATCACCATTCTGTTTTCTTTTTTTAAAAGATGTTATTTATTTATTCATGAGAGATACACACAGAGAGAGGCAGAGACATAGGCAGAGGAAGAAGCAGGCTCCCTGCTGGGAACTGACATGGGACTCAATCCCAGAACTCCAGGATCACACCCTGAGCTGAAGGGAGACGCCCAACTGCTGAGCCACTCAGGTGTCCCACCATTCTGTTTTCTTAAGTTTTATTTATTTTTTTTAGTAATCTCTACACCCAACCCTGATCTTGAACTCACGGTTCTGAGATCAAGAATCACATGCTCGGGATCCCTGGGTGGCGCAGCGGTTTGGCGCCTGCCTTTGGCCCAGGGTGCGATCCTGGAGACCCGGGATCGAGTCCCACGTCAGGCTCCCAGTGCATGGAGCCTGCTTCTCCCTCTGCCTGTGTCTCTGCCTCTCTGTCTGTGTGTGTCTGACTATCATAAATAAATAAAAATTAAAAAAAAAAAAAGAATCACATGCTCTTCCGGCTGAGCCAGCCAAGCGCCCTACTACCATCATTCTTAATGTATCAATAGCTGTTTGTAACACTATGATTAAGGAGTACTTTGGGAAATAGTTCACTTTAGATACCATCTAAAGGTGAAGGCATCACCACATAAAAGAGATGGTAATTATGTCACTTAATGGAGCTGTCAGCTAATGTTGCATTGGTGATAATTTGGCAATATAAAAAAGTGTCCAATCAGCACGCTGTTCACCTTAACTTACAGAGTTATATGTCAGTTATATCTCAATAAAGCTGGAAGAAAAATAAAGGCAGATGAAACAGGAAATATGTGTTACAAGTAAATTAAAATGTGATCTTGGTATCTAGATACAGAGTTACAGTCCAACTGGATCCCTCTAATAGCGAAAAGGTGATTATTTTTTAATAGTGGTTAATGAGAAAAGTCTATCATATTTCTAAGTTATTAAACATTGGCATTCTGTAATAAACTCATAGCATGACCAACCATCTTTGAGAGGGAAGAAAAAGTCCAGCGTGGTGAGGGCTCACAAGTTTCTTGTAATTCAATAATTTTTTAAATTTACTAAGTAATTATTGACTTCTCACGAAAGTCTAAAAATAAAAATGCTAGTCACTCTGGAGACAGAAAGCCAAATCAAACATGATCTCTGCTTCCAAGAACTCTAGAAAAGAAGATAAAATACATAAATATTCATGAGGGTTGATAAAGGGGAAGTTTCTTAGAAAGCGATACAGTGACCAGTGTCTAACACAGGCAGTGTCTGTCTAATGTTAAGTTCAGAGGAGGAACAGATACTGTCCAAGGAGGGGAGTCATGGGACACCTTGTGAAGGGAGTGGCAGCTGGACTTTGAAGACTAGTAAAATTTGAGCACAGGGAGGTTGAGAGGAGAGCTGTAGATTCTGTTGTTCATGAGTACATTCTGTGCTTCGGACATAAAAGATGATGCAAGTGGACCTCCATCTTCCCAGAAGCTGGAATGAGAAAGAGGACACACCTGCAAGCATGTCAGGGACACTATATCATTTTTTAAATGTGCTGCAGTCCACTTGTACAAACTGTATCTCAGAGAAACCAAATAGTTGATGAGGGAGGGAGAGCTCTTCACTGAAAAGGTAAGCTATTAAAAGCAGAAGAGAAGACGCATCTTTGGGGGGGGCAATTATAATGGCTACTGAAAACCTTTACTCAAGACTGAGGGGAAGCTTCTTTTTTTTTTAGAGGGAGAGAGAATGCGGGGGGGGGGGCAGAAGGAAAGGGAGAAAGAGAATCTTAAGCAAGCTCCACACCTGCACAGAGCCTGATATGGAGCTCAATGTGGGGCTCAATCCCATGACCCTGAGATCATGACCTGAGCCGAAATCAAGAGTTGGACACTTAAATCACTGAGCCACCCAGGCACCCCTAGGGGCGCAGCTTTTAATGAATGGGCCAGACTGACAAGCACCTGAGCCTGCTAATCAAGTCTCAACCCCACTAAAGGTGAGACATGCACAGCTGTGCCCCCTGACGTGATGCAGGAAGACATACACAGCACATCTAGGAAGTCTTCTCACCAAAATAACTGGATCCAAAGGCAGGATTCTAGACTGAACTACCTTGACAGGAGATAAAGAGACCTATTATGACACCATGATAACAAATCCAGAGTGTGGAAAATTCTCATCAGTAAACACTTGGCCTGAGAAAAGGGGGAGTCATAAGATCCAGGGATCCCTGGGTGGCGCAGCAGTTTAACGCCTGCCTTTGGCCCAGGGCGCGATCCTGGAGACCCGGGATCGAATCCCACATCGGGCTCCCGGTGCATGGAGCCTGCTTCTCCCTCTGCCTATGTCTCTGCCTCTCTCTCTCTCTCTCTGTGACTATCATAAAAAAAAAAAAAAAAAAAAAAAAAAGATCCAGCCTCATATCAAGCTCTATGCTCAGCTGAAAGTCTGCTTGTCCTCCCTCTGCTCCTCCCCGTTTGTACACACTCTCTCAAATAAATAAATAAATAAATAAATAAATAAATAAATAAATTTAAAAAATCTTTTAAAAATAAGTAAGAATAAGAAAGTTGCTATTTCTGCAGCAAATTTGTTTTGCTATTGCTTCTCCTAGGGGATTTCACTATAGACACATAAGTATATCTAAAGCATTAGAAGACTTATGGCCATTCTTAACATTGGTATTTAATGTGTACATTTCTGTCATTTTTCTTTTATAATTGATTTGAAAATGAAGGTAATTGCTGAGGGATCTTGTGAATACCCTTTTCTGATCATTAATTCAAGATGTCACTTTTATAAATAAAATTTTTAATTTTTTTTGTTTGCAAATAAACATTGATCTTAGGTCAGAACATGGCATACATTGAGCTGAACCTTTTTAAAAACCTGCCATCATTTGTGCAAATCGAGAATATTTTTCAAGCCTGACTATGCATCAAGCACATTAGTGCTTTATTTCAAATATAATCAAATATGTTTATATATATTGGTTATAAATGGAAAGAGGGTAAAAAAAAAGGTAGTGAAGATTTGAGGCTGATATTTTTATTCACTACCAAGTGTCAAATTATTTGCGAAGCTGTTTCATAATATTAAAGTGGAGAAAATTATAACTAATTATAAAATTATAATTTCTGCCTATCTGTTCTAAATGTAGTCTAACCAGGATTAGCATCTATTGATTTACCTATGGTACAACTTGGTTTAAGAAATCTTGGAATAAAGATTAGGCCACTGTTCTTATTTGTTCTCAGTATCCATATATGGTTTTCATGGTTAGTATTTTTCAGTTAACAGTTTCCAGGTTAGTATTTTTACCAACTGCAAAATTGGGAAATCTTCTAGAGTCAAAAGACCACTGCAACAGACTCATTGAAGAAAATGACAAATATTAAAGACATTTAGGCAACTTAATAAATAAGGTATAATTTTTTTAAAGAAATCTTTGTTTTTAAAAACTATGCCAAATACTTAAATAATAGAATTTTGGTGCTACAAAGGAGCTGAGGAATGATGGAGAATATTTATATTGATTCTATTTACTTCATAACATTACAAAATGCTCCTTTAAAAAAATTTTTTTAAAGATTTTATTCATGAGAGAGGGAGAGAGGCAGAGACATAGGCAGAGGGAGAAGCAGGCTCCCTGTAAGGAGCCCAATGTGGGACTTGATCCCAGGACTCCGGGATCACAACCTGAACCGAAGGCAGACACTCAACCACTAAGCCACCCAGGTGCCCCTATAAAATGCTCCTATTAGCTTTTTAGAGGACACCTAGAAAAGAGCATTATGTGTATCTTTACCTGTACTGTCAGCAATTTCAGGTCTTAGTATTGGGATTTCATTTTGAGGATAATTATAGAAATCTTGCCAACTTAACATTGCAATTTACCTCCTAAAAGTTGCATTAACTTTAACCCTTAGTGGATGCATCCAGTGCTTGTGTGGAAGACAAGTGGATTAGAGTTGACCCCATGCTACAGTTGTCTACTTTCTGATACTTCATTCCTTCTATTCCTGATTTCAAACTGTTAAGATTTTTGCCTTGTGTAAAATTACTGGGAGTCACATAATTGAATGTCATTGTGTAGAGTTTTTTTTTAAGTAAACAGAATAAAATATTTTTTAAAATAAAATTAAAAAATAAAAATTCCTCATATGAAGAAATCAGCGAATGTGCTGACCAAAGGCTCGAGATATCCCACTCTCAGATTGCACAGTAAGTTGAAAAAGCGTTTTAAATTTTGTAAATCTTTACTGATATTTTATTTTGCTCTCTGGCTTGCCAAACTTATGTTCACTGACTGCTAGGAAGAGAAAATGCAATTTTTATGAATTAAGACCATTTCTTCAATAAAATA